ACCAGGGATGAGTTATATTCTATTCGATGTTTTTGATATGTACCGCTCACAGGGTGGATTGGAAGACGCCAGGCCGACAGAGGCGTGAGATTTACGTATACAGGGCATTTAGGCTTATGAATGAGCTAAATATATTTATAATTGTGATCAGTACTAGCGAAATCCCGAATTCTGGAGCACGCGAACCTCTATAAAAGCTATACTTTGGTTTGACCGTTTCTCTCTTCTCTCTCACTTCTTCTTGATATTAGAACGACCTTATCTGTTGTCTATATCACATGTGTGTGGACTTCCTCATTATAATATCCTAAACACCCTTCGATCGATCGATCAGGAAGAAACGGCAGCTGAACCCTCAAACCAACATGTTTCCCGGAGTCACAACACCAGCTCTACTGGCAGTGGTACTATCCTCCGTCAGGTTCTTATGGCTCGCTATATGAAAAATGTACTAAGATGTTGATGATAGTGGTATCTCACTGGGGCGATAGTCGTAACAGGGGGCACTGCTGTCTTGTTTGATGTTTTCAATATGTATCGCTCACGAGATGGGTTGGAACTAGACGCTGGGCCTATAGAGGCATGAGGTTTTATTTTGATTGCGTATGTAGGGTGCTTGTTTGAGAATACTGTTTATGCCTATAAATGCCTGTTGATTTAGCGAAATTCGAAAGAAGTTTTCTTAATGGCCTGGGTACTCCGCCGATTTTGAGGCCGGTGGGTAATAAGCGTTATCGCGTTAGAAGAAGCTCAAATAACACGAAAATTAGTAGTATTGCTTATTCCTAATGAGTATACATCTTATCGACTCAAAAAGGTACCTATCGACTTATTTTTATATATCTATAAAAGCCGTTTCCTTTCTTTCCCTCTTTCATCCTCGCTCGTCTTCTTCTCCTTCTTCTCCTTCTTCTTCTCCTTAAGATCTTCTTCTTCTTTTTCTTCGCATTAGAACGACTCCTCTATAATCTATCCAATACTAGTGTGTACTGTGAACTCCCTCCTCGTATCTTTTAAACTCATCCCTTCGACAAAACGATCGGAGGCTTCGAAGGAAATAGCAGAATCGAGTTCTCAAACCAACATGTTTCATCCACCCGGCGTTATGACACCGGGTATAATAGCCATGGTACAGTTCTATATATCGATTTGATCTTATGCCCCCCTATGTAAACAAGTTATACTAAGATACCCAGAGAACCGGCGGGTCAGCGGTATTCATACCAACACTGACTCTATTTCTATTCGAGATTTTTGATGGGTGTCGCTCACGAGATGGGCTACCCGACGCCGGACCGGTGGAGGTGTAAAGTTTACGTATATTGTACGTAGGGTATTTGTGCTTAAGGATATCGTGGTTTTTTCTACAAATAGATTGACTTGGGCGGAGCCTGACATCACTGCAAGTGTCTTTTCCTCGTGGTTCAAGGCGATTACATGCATGTACCCGGGGGTGCCGGAAAGTGATGCAACGCTTGACCTAGCAACGCCGAAATGTACTCAGAACTTCAACTTTTAACACAACACAATGCTTGGACAGGATAGATATTTTAGTCATACCCATGATAAATGAGTCTCTAGAACAGAGTCTGCAATTTTTCAGGTCATTGGTTTGGGGTTTTTAGCCTGGGGAAGGACAACTTGTGACAAGAGACAGTAATAAAAGGAGAAGCAACAGTCAACCACATCAACTCTCGCCATAACTATGGTCTCCAGCTTCTAAATTACCATAGATTTGCTCCACATTCTGTTAGATAGTTTGGTTGTTGAGAAGTATAGACTATTTAACCGTTGCATCACTTTCCGGTACCCTCGGGTACATGTAGCTATAGTCTTTCAACTTTCGCTTATTTCTTTAGGTATATACAAGCGGAGTGTGGCCTTCGGCCGCCCAAATATACTGAGGGAATGAGGTGCGGGCGGTACTGCGATAGTAATTTCTTAGATTATTGATGTCATTCTGGATTATTGGGTCATCAAAACGTACAGGCATGCACTAAACCTTATCTCCATCTCTCCTTATATGTAATCTGTGATATATTAGCTCTAGTATGCACTCTAAGTCATTCAATGAGTAGCATTAGTATGTACATGTACTTCATGATAAAATGGTATCAGGAAAATTCGACCTTCATATATAAAAATATAGCTGTAGTTCTGTCAATGTTTGTTCTTTTATATCCATCAATTGCAATAGCTACACGCCTTTTAATGCCAGCTCCCTTCTGTCTCGGGAGTACATGTAGTTCTTTGTCGAATCATGATATGCAATCAATATTAGAAATACATGTAGTGTGCTGTAACCAATAGGAGACGTTCCTGGTGACGATGAGGAAGACTATATAATTTAGATAGTATAATATATGTATATATGTATTGCTCTTCGATAATTGCAAAGACTCGTACGCAAGTCGAGGCTTAATAAATATACTGATTGATTACGTCCAGCTTGTAATATGGCTGTAATTGTGTACTTACATACTTGGTGATCAGTACGACATATGCATGTACATATAGTACATGTAGTGAAATCTGCGGCACGCGACCACATATAAAAGCTGTTTCCCCTCTTCCGGCCCTCTAGTTCCCCTCTTTAATTCTTCTTCTTCATATATATTAGAACGACCTTCGTTCGAATCCCTGTTATCTACGGCCACTGTATCGACTCTGTGTCTATCCTAAACCACCCTCCATCAGTATACGTAAGAACGAGCAGAATTTTCAAACCCACATTCTTACACCCGGTGTTGCATCACCAGCTAGGGTTGGTAGCCTATGTGGATACCGTTCTCTGTCGTGTTACTATGGCTTCATACATAAGGTTATATTAAGATGTTTATAATGCTAGTGGATGGATCGCTGAAGGGGCAATCCTCTTCCCAGCAGTGACGTGACTCTACACATATTCGATATTTTTAATTTCTACCGCTCACGAGTTGGGCTACCAGACGCCAGACCGATGGCGGTGTGAGGTTTGCGTATGTAGGGCGTTTGTGCTTAATTACGGATATCGTGTTTTTTCCGCCAGTAGATTGACTTGAACGAAGCCTGACATCACTGCATGCAGTGTCTAGCTTTTCCCTCGTAATTCAAAGCGATTAGTCTTTCAATTTTCTTTTAACATAACATACATGTATATATATATAGCTCTTCGACAGGACTCGTACGTATGTAAGCCGAGGCTAAATATTGATTTATGTAATTACGCCCAGGCTTGTAATGTGGCTGTAATTATATATATATCTAGATCTAGTGATCAGTACGTAAGCTAGTGAAATCTGCGGCATGCGATCATCTATAAAAGCTGTTTCCCCTCTTCACTTCTTAATCTTTTCCCTCATATTAGAACGACCTTCTTTGTTACCTACACTCACTGTGCGTGGAATCCCTTACAGTCATATGCCAAACATCGGCCCTTCAATCCGGAGAAAATAGTTCTGAAACCAACATGTTACTGCCACCGGGCGTTCTAGCATCACTTCATATAGGAATAGTAATTTTCTCCGCTCAGTTCCTATGGCTCCATATATAAATAAATTATACTAAGATGCTTGTGTTAGTGGATCTTCGATGGGGCGGTATTCGGACCACTATCGGCTGTGATGGCGTTCGATGCTTTTAATTTTTACCGCTCGCGAGATGGGCTACCAGATGTCAGGCCGACAGAAGTGTAAGGTTTGCGCATGGAGGGAATTTATATATATATAGAGATGCCTAAGAATATTATGTTTTTATTTTTAGCAATAGGCTGGTTTGAACGAAGCTTGAAATCATGACTGAATGTCTAGTGTTGTTTTCTCGTAACCAAAATCAAGGATATTTGTTTTTCAATTTCAATCTTCACTTGTTGCTTTAGGCATGCCATAATATATAAGGACTTGCACGCAAAACAAGGCCTGCAACACGCCTATAAAAGCTGTTCCCCTCGAGCTCTTCCATTTTCCCCTCTTCCTTACAGAATTATATATATTAATAGAACTCTGTTACCTATAGCTACTAGTGCATGTGAACTCCCTCGTTATATTCCAAACACTCTTCGACCAGGAAGAAACAGTTGAGTTCTCAAACCAGCATTCTTGCACCCCCTGTATCATCAGCTCTAGATCTTATGGCAGTGATGCTGTTCTCCGTCAAATTCTTATGGCACCCTATCTCCTCGGCGGTCAAGCCCAATTTGTATCTGTCGGGTTAACCATATATGGAAGTCGTGATGTTAAAAACCATGGGAATGAATAAATCCGCACATTCATTCCCAATATCTGATAAGATATTGATATATAATCTATTGGTGTGTATCTTCCACACGCCTACCTTCTCCGACTAACCTAACAGATAGTAAGACTATTAGTATATGTAATATACATGCCTGGTAAATTAAATGTACTGCAAATCGAATTTACCCATGTTTAGCAGAAACCGGATTGATATAGCTAGTAAAGGCCTCTTAACAGTGTGTTAGAGTTTAGCTACAGGTTTGAACAGGCCAACTACGGTACCTGACAAGCATCTTTTCCTGCCTTTATTTCTTTTCTATCGTGGTCATATTGGTCTAATTTTTAATACTAGTACATGTAGTTAAAACATGAGAAATCACTCGCAAGCAGTGCGCCAAGACACTGCAGTCCATGCCACAATCCGAACTTCTATGTATCACAACTTGGGACGTTTCGATCAAGATACTAGAACTCCAATGAACTTTCTTGCTCGGGGCGGGTTAGATTATATCTACGGGCTAAGGTTGAGAAGATGATTCCACAATAGTGAAGTCAGTGGTTTTCAGCAAGTATAAAAGTTTGTTTCTTTTTATAGTACTGAAGAAAGTTGAAGCCTAAGGTAGATCAGAACAAGACTATGGGCCGAGGATTTCAGTACAAAATTGAAAAAGAAATGGAAAAATGATATTTTGAACTGAAAGAAAGCAGCACTTTTTAAAAGGAAAAAAAATCACTTTTGGGGGGATATGGATATGGGACCGGGGGGGGGGGGAGATTGAGAAATCACTAATTGCTAGGAATGAAGAAATATCCCCACAGCAGGGAAAGCCCACCAAGCCCCGAAAAGATGAAAAAAACCATGTCCATTCCCACGATAGAAGCCATCACAGGCACGGCGAAGCTGATTGCCCCTGTACCGATCCAATTCGCGACAAGTGCAATTGACTGTGCAGACCCAAGAGAGTTTCTGTGAACGTTGTTGGAAGCAACCATCCAGGGCAATGGACCCAACCCAATGCTGAAAAATCCCACAAAGAAGAAAACCCCGATTGCAGATAGGGCAGAAAAGTGGAAGTACAGTCCGCAGGCGAGAGCAAGCGAGAAAAACGCCATTCCCCCGATCGATGTGAGGAGCAAGGAACGATGAGAAACAATGTCGAAGAGCATTGAAGCACTGATTGTGATGATCAGATTGATGGCAGAAATCCCCGCGTTTAGCCCTCCCGCATACTGTGGGAGCATGTTGCTTAAGATAGCAACCCCGTACATCACGACCGCGTTGATGCCTTATGAACTATTAGAATTATTTAAACTTGAGTGAGGGGGGGTCAGCGAGTAATTTACCAGTAAACTGCTGAACAATCATGATCATAACAACGAGGGCGAAGGAGGCACGATGTTCCCTTTTTGTGACAAAATCAAAAAGCCCAGTTTCAGTATTTTTGGCAGGTGTTTCTTCGAGTAATGGGTCATTCTCCGATGTTTGTTCTACAAATGAATTAGCTCTAAGCATAGGATACTAAAAGGATTGAAAATATAGGGGTGGATCTTACCATTGCCAGTTTCGCTAGATCCAAAGGTATCAAATTCTTCCTCGATTTCACCAGTGCCTCTCAACCTAGCCAACGTTTTTCTCGCAAGTTCCTTGTCTCCATTCTTATATAAAGTCTGTGGAGATTCCGTTACGCCGATAAGCATTACTGCTTGAACTGCCCCGAGGGCGGCCCCAACGAGCATTACGATTCTCCATGTACTTTCCCCATCTGCGGTATATAATTAGAATATGGAAATTACAAAAAAAGAAAAGGAAAATGGCGGATAATGTGACAACTTACTGCACAATGCACCAAGGACTTGGGTAAGCAGAATTCCAACATTAATTGTAACCTGTGTGGTCGCCCCTCTGTAGAGAAAAGTTAGAAAGTAAATTGAGAGAATTGAATGAAGGTAGACTTACAGCCTTCCCTTTGAGCCAGGTGGGGCCAAGTCGTTGATAAAGAGGGGGACCACAACAGTGACAGCTCCCGCTGCTACTCCGGAAAGCAACCGTCCCAAAACTAACAGAGTGACATCCTGGGCGACAGCCTTCACAAGCCCTCCGGCGATATAAAGGAGCGAAGTTACGAAGACCGTTTTCTTGGGGCCGGTCCACTGCAAGATCTGGGACGCGAGGAGAGCTCCAAGGAGCCCCCCAAGCGCAAAGACAGAACTGGCAGCGCCTAAAAACATACTCTTATTAGTCGTTGCGTTTCCAAAACTAGTAGTAAAGATGGAGAAAAGATTACTCGTTGAACTATTTAAGGGATAAGGAAAAGACAAAAAAAAAGAAGGGGAAATAGCGGCAAATAGCCAGATGATAGTGTATACGAATTATCCAGCATTATAAAACGATGAAAATCAAAGGGAAGTTTAAGAGATAGATGATATCGAGGAAACAAAAATCCTCAGAATAGTGATAGTATTGATGAGAATGGGAGCGACGAATATTATGAAAACAGAAAACTAGATAATGAATATTTGCAGTGGATAAATAAGTAACAAATGTAATGAAAATGATAAAAAAGTATATATTGGGCAGTGAAAGTATACTAGCAAACAACGATAAGAGTCAAGAATTTAAAAGATGTGAAGCATCGAGATTATATGAAGAATTGATATAATGTGAATAAAGATAATATGAACAATTAAGATGATGCGAAGAATGAGTATGATACTGACCTAATTGGGCGTCGTTGAGGCCAAGGTTATTCCTGATGGCCTTTTCAGGCGCGTTTAACTCCGCCTATAGTAGTAATAGTAGGTTAGTATTAATATGAAGTAAATGTGTATCAAACTCTTATCAGAGCACTTACAATTGAAAATCCAAAGAGAGTGGTGCCTAGGGCAAGCGTGAGAATAGAGAAATACAATGACCAGGTATAAGTCATTGTAGATGATCAAGAAGATGATATGTAGGGGAGTATGAAGATAAAACTGTTAAAAGAAAGAGGAAGGAAGGAGAAGAAAGAGAAGAAGAAGAGGGAGAAGAAGGGCTTAAATAGTAATTGGAGCCCTCGAGCGAGCCCTCAAGCGGCCAAAATCAACTTTAGTACAGTCTTGGAAAAAGTCCAGTCAGTGAGTGCGTAAGCTGTGAGTTCCTCCCTTTCTTTCCCGTGCGGGTCAGGAGTTGTGAGTTTTGCTACTAAAATATGTAAAATATGTATACGCCTTCTCTACTAGTAGTACGCAGGCCTCAGTCGCAGTTGTAAGAAGATGGGCGACGCGACGGTTGTAGCTCCATTTATGTACCTACTAAACTCTCCCTCCCCTGTCTGCGAGTCTGCGACGCAGCCAACAGCCTAATGTTACACAGAATCTCAGATCCCCATAACAACAAGCCACACAAGCGTTCCGCGGCTCTGTGACCGATTTTCCCGGTGGAATTGAATTAAGGCTGATTTGAGCTGCCAGCTTGAACATCATAGAAAAGTACATGTAGGTACAAGATAGGTCATATCGCTATCAACCCCACGATTTAGTTCCGCAAAAGTTCTGGTGTCGAGAAATCCACTACACTTATTTCGGCCCCGGCCCTCAACTGATTGGTCGCATGCGATAGGGAGCTCAACGTCGTCGACAAGAAGCACGATCGCTGCGGAAACCCGGGTCTGCAAACCCACTACTGTTACCGTCTCGTCCACCACCTCCGACCAGCACCGCAGTTTTTCGTCGCGACAGCTTCGAGTGCACGATATGCCCCCTTATAGAAGTAAGGTTCGGGTTCTGGACCGCTACCAGATAATCGGGTTTATCTCTAGCGGTACATATGGTAGGGTCTACAAGGCAAGGAGTAAGCTTGCGGGAAATACAAAGGAGTTCGCCATCAAGAAGTAAGACTCGTTCTATTTCCCGTTATATCTTATTGCGTTGCCTAAGTAAACGCGAACATTATCCTAATTTAGTTTTCTCCTCTCTCTACAATAGGTTCAAGCCGGACAAAGAAGGCGAAATCATACAGTACACCGGAATATCTCAATCTGCTTGTAGGGAAATGGCTGTGGGTATATTCCTCTACGCTCTAGGTAGCTTAAAGCTGACTCGGTGCTGTAGCTATGTAGTGAATTGGGCCACGAGAATATAATCCACCTACACGAGATCATACTGGAAGACAAGTGCATTTACATGGTCTTTGAGTACGCCGAACATGACCTTTTGGTACTGCATCCTGGTTAACTTGATAAATAATTACCATTTCGCTAATCATTCGCAGCAAATAGTTCACTTCCATTCCCACCCAGAACGTCGCCTAATACCGGAGGCGACTGTAAAATCTATTCTGTGGCAACTGCTTAATGGCGTCTCCTATCTTCACCAGAACTGGGTTTTGCATCGAGATCTTAAACCCGCCAATATAATGGTGACCGCGGCGGGTGAGGTTAAGATAGGTGATTTGGGTCTGGCGAGACTGTTCTGGAAGCCATTACAGAGTCTATACACCGGAGATAAGGTGGTTGTAACTATATGGTACAGAGCTCCTGAGCTATTGCTTGGTAGTAAACACTATACTGCAGCAATAGACCTTTGGGCTGTGGGATGTATTTTCGCTGAGCTATTGGCTCTCAGACCAATATTCAAGGGCGAGGAAGCCAAGATGGAGAAGAAAAGTACCGTGCCATTTCAACGAAACCAGATGCAGAAGATTATTGAGATACTTGGAATGCCTACCAGTAAGTTAACTCCCATTCACTCTCATCGGGACCGGAAACTTATAAAGTTTTATAGAGGAGAGATGGCCGGGTGTAGTCCAACAACCTGAGTTTGGTCAATTAAATGGTTTCAAGCCATCGCCAAATGTTCTTGAAGGGTGGTACCACCAGATCGGCGCTACAAATGCATTAGGATTCCAACTTTTGTCAGGGCTGTTGAATTATGACCCAACTCAACGACTGACTGCGCAAGCAGCGCTGGAGCACCCATACTTTACTGAAGGTGCCAAATTGACTTTAAAGTAAAGCGTCCCCCGCCCTTTATATCTTGCAAGATCATTACTTACGTTTTCAAACAGTGCATTTGAGAGTCAGTCAGTTGAGTATCCTCACCGCAGAGTAAGTCAAGAAGACAACGACATATCATTACCGGGAACAAAAAGGAGCGGATTGCCGGACGATTCATTAGGGGGTTCTAGGAAGAGAATTAAGGAGGGCTGATTATGCCAGTATTAAGAGATGACGAGTTTGAAGAAAAAAAAGAGAGAGAGATGGGTTAGCTAAAATCGGTCGGTGAGAGAGTATATGTAGGTTATTGGAAAACTATTATAACATTAAATTTGTAACAATACTTTGTTTAGAGTACAACATATAATTAGCTATATAGGGTGCGGCGTTCTTATGTTCGTACGGATAATATTCACCTAAATTCACAAAACAAAATGTTGTGCAAAGTGTTAAGTATTCCAGACGGAAGTGTGTGGCGGTGCACCGAGTGATTGCAACAGCAACCTGCGTCTTCTCCCTGCCAATGTAAGTTTTTAAAGCACATGTAACGACCTGCCTTCCTTTGCAGCTAGCTACAAGTAACAAATGGACTCTTCGGCAACTGTATTCTTGCGTCACATAATGGCGGCTGGCCCAGTGGGTCACAGATTGTCGCTATCAAGTCATAGAAATTGTCGATATTGCCCGTCGACAGAGAAAGCGGCAGGGACTACCGAGAACGGCGTAGCCTGTCAACTTATTTACATGAATGATATTGGTAGCTGTGACCTCTCGACCACGAGTCGATAACACGGTTGAACAGCCCGCTAACGGGTCAAGAAGTCAGCGAGTATTCATGTGCCTACAACATGTGTACTCGAGACTACATGTATTATCTGAAGATTGCGTACTCAAATCCTTCTCTGCCCTAGGGCAAGGGGATAGATGGCCAGCGTGACTGCTTATATGAATATGGGCACAATACTATGTGTAAATTCACCATACCGCAGATAACAGATGAGGAGGCTTAGGTAGGCAGGATCAGGTCTCGTACCTGTCCCTACGAACAGCTCGCTGTTCATGTTACGTGAGTGAGTACATATGAAATTATTCTACCTGCTACCTAATATATCCGCTTTATTTCTACCTTACTACTATCTCTCGTTCAATATCCCTTCTTTTAGTCTCTAGTCTCGTGCCCAGCCCGTTACTTGCAGCAAGCTGCCCACAAGCAGACGGGTTGGGGAGGAGCCTACCCTTCTCTCTGTGCCCCTCGCTCTGGTCGTCCACATTTCATCCGACGCACACACCTGTCTCTCCGTCCTACTCTAGATCTAGCTCTATGCCTATCTCCTTATAGTTTTCAGTGTGGTCCATGACGGTGTCGACACAAATCCACCCTGAGATCAGCCTCCGAAACTTGAGGTCGGGCACAATCAGAGACGAACGAGGCCGAATAGTCTCAAAGTATTCCCTAGCTTTCAGTGTATTCTTCACTTACCAGTACACAAATGTCTCTATATAGCGTCATCTATCTATCGCCTTTCTACTTCCTCCCCTAGACTTCTCTCTAGAAATCTCTTCCACCTAGCTCCCTCTGTATATCTTCCTCTATCGTTCTTTTCCCTCTATAGCTATAATGCGTGTACATATTTTCTCTGTCTCTGAGCTGTGTCTTTGATTAGCCCTCTCTAAACACCCTTCATGCGTTCCTTATACCTCTTGAGTTCTTCTGTATTCCCGGCCCTGCCGCATTTCCATATGTACTGTCTTACTTGCACTGCCCTTGACTACTTCATATAACTCCATTTGTCTTCCTTCTTTAGCTATACCTGTTTCGTCTTTCTGTCCTGCACTTAACCGAAAGAGAATCTTAGTAGAGAGCCGCGGCTAATTAATCAGCGGGAGAGCTCTAGATTATAAGGAAACGGAAGTTTGCTCTCTCCGGTTCCTCACAGATCTAATAAACAATCCTGATCGGGAAGGACGCTAGGGGTCACTAAATCGGATGCAGTAGCAAATATTGAAGTCTACAAACGGTCCTGGGTACATTATATATATAGAGCTACATATTGTAGCAAATTTACAAAAAAGAAACGAATCCAAGGATTTAGAGTTAGCTAAGAAGTCTTGAGCCGCTAAATAATTGTATTTCGTCAGCTATCTTATGGGCGGGCTATGATGTAGGCCTAAATGGCTGAATTGATTGTATTTACTATTCATATAATTGGGGCTCAATTAACCCTCGGCACCAACGGTTGATGCTGTGCACGGTTTTGACAAATACGTGCATAGCAATACATGGTGGTTGAGCAGACGACGTTATGTGACCAGGGTAGTGAAAGATCGGACATGATGAGCAGGCATCTCGCTTATCAGTGGACTTGCCGAAGGAACATTCGATGACATATGACAGCATCCAGATCGCCGAGCTCGGGACGGGCTAACCCTTTCATCCGTTCTGGTCGAGTATTTCTTCTTCCTTTAAGACCCTTCTTCTTCTCACATATCTTCCTACTTGCATCAGCCGCATTCAGATACATCCCATACACAAACACACACACAACAAACAAATATCACACTTCACGCATCACAATGGCATCTGCTACTACTTTCTACGACTTGAAGCCTCTTGACTCCAAGGGCCAGGACTATGACTTCAACGAGCTCAAAGGCAAGGTCGTCCTGATTGTCAATGTTGCTAGCAAGTAATACACCCCTTTCTTCTTCCAGTCTACCGCACAGGTTTGCTAATAAACGGTGGTACAGGTGTGGCTTCACTGGTGTAAGTAGATTCTGCTGTGAGACATGGAATCGAATAATAAATGAATACTGAACACCCAACCTTTCTCTATAGCAATACGAAGGCCTCGAGAAGATCTACGAGAAATACAAGGATGATGGATTGGTCGTTCTCGGGTTCCCCTGCAACCAATTTGGTGGACAGGAGCCCGGCACTGCTGAGGAGATTCAAAACGTATGAAAAGCCATGTATTCCTACTCCTAAAATATAATTATACTAACTCATTGTTTAGTTCTGCACGTATGTAAACCCTCATTTAATTCTAACAACTTACCTGAGTCCTGTCCTTCTAACTTTGTGTAAAGAGTGAACTACGGTATCAAGTTTCCTATTCTTGGAAAGATCGACGTAAACGGTGACAAGGCTTCTCCGGTTTATGAGTATTTACACCCCCCCCCCCCCCTTTGCGATTCTTAACAATTACTGATAAACTATTATCTCAGATATCTCAAGAGCCAGAAATCTGGTATGATGGGACTCAAAATGATCAAATGGAACTACGGTAAGCTCTACGCGCAGAATTTAGTCTCCAAAATTTCCTAACATCAAGCCAGAGAAATTCCTCATCGGTAGGGACGGAAAGGTTGTTGAGCGCTGGGCCTCAACAACCAAGCCCGAGTCCTTGGCAACGGCCATCGAGAAGGAGTTGGCTAAAACAGCCTAGCTATCGAAGTTGTAGCTTCTGGTATTTGTAATACAGCTCTTTATTATACCTTGCAGTTTCGATTTCCTGTATACTAGCTTGTTTTCCTTCCTGGGTTCAGCCTTGAGCTGAAACCATAATATCAATGCGTATTGCGTAATATTGTGCCCTTGAACCGTTGAATTCTGCAGTCACCTGGAGCATGCTACAAATTTGAAACCTGTAAAAAAAAAAACACCAAAACTACATATATGCCTTCTCGATGCACAAATCAGAGCCACCTCAAAGCGAGTCCTTGATACCGATAATAGAGGCTCTTCTTAATCAATCGTCCAAATGACGAATATCACGTTGATCCTTGTCCACAAGATTCAAACCCGGCCTCCGGCAGAGACCACAGACGTTGACTTTGACTAATCGCTCAGCCCTGTGGCCCTTTCCGAGGGTCTAGACCACGTCTAAATAGAGAAACACTAACCACATTTAACCTGAAAGCCGTTGGATTTCGCCCTTGGTAAAGGCCGTCGAGTGATATCTTATGACGTTGCATATCATGCATTGAACTCTATTGTTCAAAGTTCAAACCTACACAACGCTAAGCTTTGTTATAGTGATCCAGTGACGTACAGAAAGCTTGAACACTGTATATGTCTCTCCTCTTATATTAAAAAAATTATTATCAGCTCTGTCAGCCTTTAAGGCCGGTTGCATCAACGTTGATCTGAGTCATGGGCAGTTGAATTCATGAAAGAGGGCGCCAGAGTTAAATCTCGGTGGCTACAAGAAGAAAAGAAAGAAAAGGAAATTTAAGGCAGACAGGTATGTCCTACCGCCACACGGGGCTTGGAGAAGCGTTAGTCCGCGGAGGTTGACCTAGTGGCGGTTTCTCGTGAAAGCAGTGCTGGTAATGACCCACGACCCGTAATGACCGGTCAGTGTTACGACCGGGTCGAGGACCCATGGGTCGTAGAAGGCAATGAGCTAGGCCGTATCCTCGGTGAAAGGGTAAATAAAAATAAGACAAGAGGCCGGCCCCTCCCTCAGTCTTGCGGTTGCGTCGCCGAACTGAGCTTTCAATTAAGAATATGAATATGACAGAACTTGGGATCGATGGAAGGTCACTGAGAGGGGCAGCGTGCGTGGTTGAGGGGAGACGGAGTCGGCCGTAAGATACGGATACGGCCATAACAGACCACCAGTATTATCCCGAATAGAGTGATCTCTTCCCAGGCTTGGTGGGTTCATTGATGACTGCCTGGGAGTGGGGGATACCGGCGGAAGCTAGAAGCCCACATGCACCGCAAGGATACCTCGGCGTGGCTGAAATAAATTTGTCAAGATGATATTATGCATGGTGGGAGTGAGTGGCCTACACACCCGAGAATTTAGAAGTCATTATGCTATAATTTGTTGGTCTGTGAAATATCGAGTGTCCTATTAATGTAGAGCTCTGTATAAACATCTAATAACTAGGTGGGCTTGCGGTGTGCCAAAATGTAGATAATATGAATCCCAAATCTATGATAACCACAAATTCAGTGCCTCTGAAGGCCGAAGTGTGGTCTCTATAAGGGCGTCTCGAGATTCGAAACCCGTGTTATAGGAAACGACAATAAACCTCAAAGATATGCCCAACCCCAGATACCTTATCAACTCCATAAATGACACCCCCAGGGGCTATACATGTAGTTACTTCACACCGACCCTCAACTATAGCTAACATCAAGCCACATCTTAAAGCCAAGCCTGGATACTATCAAAAAAGAATTGAACAAGCCATTGTCATTACCCCCCCTCCCCGGGTATTCCAGCTGCATGATATGCATGTCGCAATTGATATAAATTATTAAGGTTATTTTTTATTCCTTCTCTACTCGTCAACTCCCCATCTCCCCATGCCAATCTCCCCCATGACCTCCCAACCACACACCACTATATCCACCCCTAGCTCCTCCCACTCTAATTATTCCAAACATAAGCCCGACCCCCGCTTTAATAACGAAACGATACGGGTACCTTCATGTATATACAGAATACAGAGAAGCATGCATAGCTGTACAAAAGGGTAGTGCTAAAAAAGAAAGAAGCACAAAAGAAGAAAAACAAAAAAACTCCACCCTCTTCCCTAAATCCCATCCATCACGCCTGCCTACTACCTGCTTGCTCGCAAATTACAACAATAGTTACAAAACGCAAAACGAGCAGAAAAAAACACGCAAACTCTCAGACGCGCACACTCTCACAAAAAGAGGGGAAGACGAAACAGTGAAGTGGGAGGAGGGGTAGAAGGAAAAAAAAATCTCATTGTAAAAAAAAGTGTAAAAAAAAAAACCCAACCAAATAGCCAAAACCAACCGTCCAACCAACCAACGAACCAATACACAATATATCATTTAAGGCGTAACACGTCCAATTCCATCCCAGTTAAACTTTCTTATATTTGCATTCACCCACACTAACTTGCAGGTGTCATTTTCAGTTCACCAAGTTGCTTATTTTTGATCGTCGACATTGTCAGCCCCACAGGTGTATCTGGGGGTGCTGGCGTCGCCGCGCGACTCGCGGGTGTACTTCTGTTGTGTGCCATGTGGCTCCTTACGAGGTGTCCTGCGGCAAGTGCTGAGCAGAGCGAGAGCTCACCGGCGAGGACGGCGGCGGCAATAATGCGGGCAAGTTTGCGGGCGTTATCACCGGGGTTGGTGGCGTGGGCGCCGCGGACGCCGAGAAGGTCGAGCATGGCGCCTTGGGGCTCGAGGATAGTGCCACCACCAATGGTTCCAACCTCGATACAGGGCATAGAGACGGAGATCTGGAGGGCGCCTTCACGGGTTCTGTGGGATGTTAGACAACTCTTCATTACTGATATCGGGGGGTTGATTTATAAGCTTACCTCTTCATGACGGTGATACAGTTAGATGATTCGACATTCTGGGCAGGATCCTGTCCGGTGGCCAAGAACAATGCAGTAACAATGTTTGCAGCATGGGCGTTGAAACCACCAACACTTCCAGCCATGGCAGATCCAATAAGGTTTTTTGCGGTATTCAGCTCGACCAAGGACTCGACATCACTCTTAAGGACGCTCTTGACAACATCGGCGGGAATGATTGCTTCAGCAACCACGCTCTTTCCACGTCCCTCAATCCAGTTAACAGCAGCGGGTTTCTTATCAGTGCAGTAGTTTCCAGAAACAGAAATGATAGCCATGTCGTCAAATCCACACTCAGTGCTCATAACGTGCAAAGCGTACTCAACACCCTTGGAGATCATGTTCATTCCCATAGCATCACCGGTAGTGGTTCGGAAACGGATGTAAAGGTAGGTGCCTGCGAGTGCGGTGCCGATGCTTTGGAGTCTTGCAAATCTGGAGGTAGAGTCGAATGCCTTCTTGAGCTTTGCCTGTCCTTCCTTGCCGTCGATCCAGTTCTTTGCGGCACCAGCACGACGGACATCCGGGAATTCAACAACAGGCCCTCTGGTCATACCATCACCAGTGAGAACAGTGACAGCTCCACCGCCGGCGTTGATGGCCTTGCAACCACGGGAAGTACTAGCAACGAGAACACCTTCAGTGGTAGCCATGGGGATGAAGAAGTCTTCGCCATCGATGTTGAGGGGTCCAGCAATACCAACGGGGAGAGGCATGTAGCCAATGACGTTTTCACAGCAGGCGCCAAGAACACGGTCGTAATCGTAGTGCTCGTATGGCAGAAGCGATCTTTCGAGAAGAGCGGTCTTGTCAGCGGTAGCGGGGGTTCTTGAAATAACAGATCGTCGAATCTTGACAGCACGGGTAGTATCCGCAAGAGTCTTTTCCAAAGCATAACCGGGAATCTTGTTGCGGAGGGATAGTTCGATGGCCTCAACATCACTGAGCTCCTTTCCACGCTTCTCCTTCAACAAGGCCTCACATTCGGCGACTGTACGGCCAGACTCGGAGGTGTTTGACTGGGTAACAGATGCCTCGACAGATCTCTGCCTGTCACCACCACATGTGCAGTTTACAGCCAAAATACGCTCAACGGGGCGAGGCTTGTTCTCAGTATCCTGGGCCTTCTTTGCCTTCTGACTCAATTCGGCCTCCAGTGTCTGTGATGATTCCTTCACACTCCATCTCGCGGCATTGAAGAGGTATCCGTTGAGAACCAAGCTGAGGGCCAGGGCAACGATAATCCACTTGCTCAAAACGGGGTCTTCCAAGCTCTTCAACAACCCCTCGACGACCTTACTTCCAACACCCTCCACAAACAAATCGGATCCATCATAATCACCAAGAACCGAATCACGACCATTGACAGAGGCAGAAGGGTAGCTAGCGCTCGGGAAGCGCAGCTCATACTCAATGGGTCTCAAAACAGTAACAACAGTTGAACCATCAACAGGGAGCAGGAATTCCAGCGCGCTACCGGCAACCTTCCAGACATCTACGTCGGGAATGGCAGTCTCACTTTCCTGAGCGATAACTGTAGAGCTACCGCTATCCCTAAATGGCAGAGTGCACAGATTGAAGACATTGACCAGGACGAATCCGGAAACCATCAACACCTTGAACCTCCCCACGCTGGAATCCTTGACGCGCTTTCCGAAAACAACGGTGCCCTCGTCGGCAGTGTCGGTGGTGCCATCCTCACCTTTTGCAATCTGGCGCGGCCATTCATTTGACCGGGCGACGTTCTCCGCCACTGTGTGGCTAACACCATCCTCCTCAAGAGCCTTACGGAGCGCCACATGACGCTTGATCCTGTTGATCTCAAGTTTAACAACCAAGATCGCCGTGTAAAAGGTGAAAAGAAGGATACAGTCAAACGCCAAGATCCAACCGGCGAGGAAACAGAACTGCCTCAGACCACCTTGTACCCCTGACGCGGCGCCGAGAGCAAGAACGATAATTTCGATGACGTAATCGCGAACGATTTGGAACCCCTTATCCTGGACGGCGGTGAGAACAGCCTCTTGGATGGATGAGCCACCCTGTTTCTTCTTCTGGGAGGCCAACGAAGCTTCCAACACAGCCCTCGTAAGAATAATAGGCTTCTCGAATCCAATTGTGACTACCAAGAATGGCAGCCCTTCGGAAAGGAGGACCATGTTGATGGGAACACCAAGCTTATGCGTCGTAATCGATGCGAACAGGAAGGCGAAGCTGGATGAGCACAAGACAGTCGCGGCAAGCCAGAAGTTAGACCCTAGCCGGCGCATCGACAAAAATAGTGACAGGAACGTAAGGTGCATCGAGAGGTATCCCAGGAACATGATCGCAATATCAAGCGGATCGGCATTCTGCTCAAATTATCAGATGAGAATAGGGGGCTACGTAACGCATGAGATCATACCTGAATCAACTGCTTGAAATTTTCAATTGTACTTTGGGCTCTCTCTATCCAGCTGCCAGAGGCATTGCTACGGGCAGACTGCATGACCCAGCGCCGCGTCTTCTCGCCCTCCTCGGACTTTTCGGCATCAGCAGTGGGTAGTTCGGAGACGGAGTTGACGAAGCTGGAGATTTCATCGTAGGGAAGAGCGTAGACGATGGTAGATTCCTCAGTTGAGGGGACAATTGAAGCAATAGAACCATTCGGGGGGATCGGTGCAGAGAATCCATTCAAGTCCTTTGGGAACGAGAGCGTCAGGAGAGCTAGCTGCGTTGCAGACTGTAACAATTGCAATGATGTTGGTCAATAAAAAGAAACTCTCAAAGGCTAAGGTGCAAAAGGGAATAAATGATTGTTGGGGGAAAAGAAAAAAACATACCTCATACCCATCATTCCCAATCTCCTTCCACTTCCACTGCGTCTCCTCACCCACAGCAACGCGGGCACTCCCGTCCATCAACGACAGATTCTTCTTCGACCCGCCAAATGCCCATCTCATAGCACTGCGGTCAAACAGGCTGTTCTCCAGTATAGAAATGTATGTTGTTGAAGCCAGCAGAGCTATGATGACGATCGTGTGGATAGGGTGAATGCACGCGCTTTTTGAGAGCGTCTGCACCAGCGGCGTGAACGGGTCCCATTGCGGCGGCGGCTTCTTTGTCGTGAGCGACGGCGGAAGGAGAGGAAGCTGCATTTCTGCTGACTGCTTCGTGCTTCTGGTGAGGGTTCTGGCTGGTTGGTGGGAAAACCTCAATTGAAGCAGGAATAGGGAAGGGGAAAGGGAACGAAAAAACAGGAGGAAAAGGAAGTAAGTAGTAGTAGTAAAGGTAGAGCAGTAGTAAAATAGTAATAGCCCCCTCCTGCTAGGTACTTTACCTACTCGTGCTATCCACCCCCCGGGCAAGGAAGCTGGATTGGATTATTGGGTTTATTTTATTGGAAGTGAGATTCTGAGGACAACAACCCCTGTCAGTTCAAATTTCCGGGTCCGTTCCACCCCCCATACCACCTCCCTTTTTCTTGTGCGCTTTGCCCCTGAAAATCGTGGGTAGCGGGCTCCGGGTTGGGGATGCATAAGCATTTTTTATTTTTTATTTTTTATTTTTCTTTTGGGGAGAGCTCAACAAGACGATACAATTGGGGGTGAGGTGAGCCTCAACTACATACATTGAAAGAAAGAAAGTAAGAGAGAGAGAGAAAAAATGGGGTATTGTTTCCCAGGGACGTGACGACATGAGGGTTTATCTTTCCTGTGCGCGCGCGCAACCCAACCAAAGTAGACTCGAGAGGTTACATAACTTGGTCTGTACGTACCTTGTAGACCAACACTACTTGCACCCACCCCAACACAACGCTCGATAATGGCAGATAAGGGCCTCCCCCGATTGCGCAAGAGAGGGAAAAAAATGTTATTTTTCCCGAGGTTATTGATTGTCGATAATGTATGTAAGTGAGGTATGTGTATGCCGACAACTACATGCAGTAGAAGTACATACGACCTTAGGTATGGATAAAAAGGCCTGCCACAGGGACGTGTTCTGGTAGAGTACTCTCTACTTTGCCTACGTTGAGGAACGTTGATGCGGAGATAGCTAGTTCGGCGCAAGCCAGCAAGCAGAGCAGGATCGCAGGGATGGATCTGCAGCAGCCGGCGGGCGGGTGGGGGGTGGGGGGGGGGGGGGGGGGGGGAAGGGAAGGAGGGAGGAGGAGAAGGTGGATAACGGACGAGTACTAGGTACCTAAGACCTATGTAGATAGAGTAGGAGAGGCTGCCAGGCCGAGTAGAGTAACGAAGGAAGCAAAGGTAGCTGGGAGTATAGTAGAGAGGAGTGAGATTCACAATCCCAAGGACATTTGTTTTTGTCTTTGTCTTTATCTACCTCTCTCACTCACTTGCTACCTATCCTACCTCGATCCACAGCTGTGTCCATAGTAGGTCAGATGCGCCTGTTTTGTTGAGTGTTGATGGCGGAGAAGCGGCATATCTCAGTTCTGTCTGTGTCTGTGCACACGCCACTTGTTCTATTCTGGATGTGGAATAGCACTCCGTCTAGCTACTCTAGCTAGTCACCGAAACTGTCTGTCCATCGTAAGAAAGAAAAGAAACAATCAGTCAATCAATCAATCAATCAATCAAATCATGATCATTATGATCGATTGGGAGAACATACCGACATATACTTTAGAGAAAGTGAGAGAGCGAATAAACTGCAATCCCGCATGCCCCGTCCAGAACAGCACAAATCAGAACCCACCTTCATCTCTGCGCCGTTGCGGCACGTGTTTTGCGTCTTTCGATTCCCCGTTCCATGCATCTTCCAAATCCTCTCTCCCGGCGGTCCAGACAGGTCTGTCGTTTGTTCACCTCACACCACACGCGCGCCCGTTGAAACAAAACGCGTAATAGTCCTTACTTTCACTGCCTGTGATCATTACCCCACCACCACTACCGCGATTCGCGATCAGTGAGTGGTTCAATTAAGCTCCCCCACACTATCCATTCATAGAGAGGCTTCAATTAAGCTCCCCCACAGAAGTCAGGTGTCAATAAGCTTGTTTTCCCTCCCTCCCACGCAGCTAACCTGCCCTCCGCACCAGGTAAGTACAAGTCATCCCACAACCACGGGCCAGGTCAGAGTGATCCTCACCCTGCCTATTCTACCTACCATATAAATAGCTCTGCACACATCCACGCACAAAACCCAAATCTAAGTCCGCAATGGCCACTCCCACCCCACCAAGCCCCTACCAGCCCCTCCTCACCCAAGATAAGCCACTCTCTTCCACCCCTCCCCTCGCTCTCCACACTAACCCCCCCCAGCACTCATTAGGCTGCAACCTCTTCTCGACACCCTCCGCCAGCAGCACACGCAGCTGCGCGCTCAGAACGACAAGCTTGTGCGTGTGGGCGTCGCCATGGAAGGCACACTACGGCCCGTGGAGGAGGGGATGCGGATTGAGCGGGAGAAGCGGGCAGCGGAGGAGGCCGCCGGGAGGACAAAATATGGGGGCGGGAGGGGCGCGGGAGAGGAAGGAAGGGGTGATGAAGGTGTTAGGAGTGTGGGGGGCAAATGATAATGGAAATGATCGTTCTGGCAGGAATTTATCTGCTAGTTTGTTTTGTAATTTTAGCCTGTTGAATACAGTTATTCTTCAAGGGCGAATGGTAAAAATAGTAGCAAACTTTCAATTAATAGGTAATAAGTAAGCAAACCAAGCAGATAAGCAACAAAGTACAGGTACATAGTAGATACGCATTCTACAACCGCTGCAACCGTTCTCAAGCACAATCCAGCACTCGTGCCCCCCCAAACCCCCAACGAATAGAGCTTGCAGTGAAAAAATTACCGCTCCCCTTCTCAGCAGAAGCTATATTGACCCCCTTCGCACCACGACATACACCCATGCTGGTCGTATATACAAACAAGTTATTTTTCCAAACTCCTGACCCGCTGCCCCCAACCGAAGCCAAGCACAACTTAAAAAAAAAAAAGAGAGAAAAAGAGAGAAATAACAAAATAAAAAACAAAAAAAACGTGAATAAGAAAACAACACAGCCAGCAGTAAGAAAAAAGTAGAAGGAACCATGCTTCTAGTAAACAAACAGGCACAAAAAAAAAGGAAAACCAAAACCAGATTCTCAAACTGACTACCTATTTATGTATTTATTTGTTCCCGAAGTCGAGGACTAGGCGTCTCTCCACCTCCGTCTCCTTGCCGACCTCTTCTTCGCCCTCAAATTTCAATCTGCAGGTCCCATCTCTCTGCCCAACGTATTAGCACCCATACAAAAATAACCGGAAACAAAAAGAAACAATAACAAACCTTGGTCCCCATAACTTCTGCTCTATAAAAGGTCGTTGTCTCCGGATACCTTGCCAGCACCTGCTTCCCCACAGGATAGACTGGTAGCCCCGCACTCTCCCTTGGGATCGGGATTAGTGCGTTGGCGGACGCCTTATATGTTTTGCCATGATCTCCAGCCTCATCCGGCTCTGGGTCCTGCACCTCATACCTGAATCGCACGTCCGCCTCTCTATCAGTCTTCCTTTCCTCACCCTACATACATTGAAGAACTTAAGATTTAGCATACCGTCTCTTTGCACCATCCCCCCCAATGATGTTAACGACTACACACTGTATCCACATGTCCTCAGCTCCCTTCTGCTTTGGCCGGCGGTAGGCAACCTCGGAGTTGATATATAGCGCGTCGGCGGATGGCGCGGCGGAAGCGCCGCGCGCAATCTTTGTGGTGCGCGTGGGGCTGTCGGAGGTAAGGGCATCGTCGAGCTTGCGTTTGCCGCGCTTTTTGTCGACTGGGGGGTTTGGGGGTTTAGCATGGGTCGGTTTTTTGGCTCGAGGAGTAAGAAGGGGCAGAAGGGGTAGGGTGGGGGTAAGGGCAAAACAGAAGTGAGTGTGGTTTTTAATAGCAATTTTTTTTCTTATAACATTGGTTCTTGCGGTAATTTGATATAAAGTTTTCAGGTCTTTCTTTTTTCTTCTTTCTTTTGAACTGGGGAGGGAGGGAGGGAGTGGAAGAGCTATATACCTCCTCTGTCACCGCCCTCAGTTGCGGTTCGGAGGGCGATTAGAAGGTCGTTCTTTTCGACGACGGAATGGAGGGTCCTGAGAAGGTTGTTAGCATATATAGTATAGTGATGGAGCTACACTTACTCTTGCTCTCGCTCGGCGAGGTTGATGTGCTCTTCGTAGAGCTTCTCGAGGCGCTCGTATTCTCTCCAGGATGGGTCTTGATGATCTCGGGCGTTAGATTCGGGACTTCTCATTTCACATGGGGCATAATAAGTTGCGTAAGAGGAAGTAGTAGTAGAACAGATGGAAAGTAAGCAGGTAATTGATATGATATCAGTACAATATAATACGGCGCACGATGATATAAGGTATAAGGCATAGATAAGATTGCAAACGCAATGCGCAACACCGCAACACCGCAACACCACCCCCAAACTCTCCCAAAAAAGCAGTTAAAAGCAAGACTCACCACCAACCGCCAGCCTCTGCTCCTCATCCAAGATCTCGGCCGCCAGCTCGTTCACGCGCTTCGACATCTTCGCCAGCTCCTTGAGCTCATTGACGATCTTCGTCCACAAGTCTCTCTCCTCGTGGGCGTCGCCGTCCTCCTTCGGGAGCGCTCGAGGCCTGTTACGGGCCGCCATGATCGTATCTGAAGTGAGGGGAGAAATGCTGTTTGTTTGGTGTTTGACGCGTGTGGTTGATGTGGGGAGGGGGAAGACGTGTGTGTTCAGGCAGCCAAGACGGTCGCTCCCGGTGCCAAGGGATGCGGGTGGGAGTGCATGGTGCAGGGACGAACGTCGCCTCAGCCAGCTGGTGCCTACATACCTAAATACCACCTACGTTCTACTCTCGGTGGCGATTGTAATGACGACTTTTCTTACGGAAGCTCGCTGGAAGGGATTGGGCTGTTTGGATTCGCGATTGCATGTAGCTAGCTACTCTACTATGCTGCGCTCTAGATCTCTGTGGTATGGTAAGAGGTCCATGGAGTTGGAGCTTGTGTTTGGTTCATCCATGATGGCCCGACGTTCCAGGATGACCCTGGATGTCTCCACTCCACTCTCAACGTCAGACGTTTTGATCTATCCCACGGTCTAGAGTACTTGCATAGCAGAATACAGCATATCTTCCGCTTCTATCGCCATCAATATACATAGCATCTTTTCATAATTACATGTATGTAGGCGAGGTGGCCTAGGCAAGATCCTGATCACGAACTGTCACTCATCCCGACAGCTGCAGGGGTCCATTCTAGGTACTGGGTGCCTAAACCATCATAGATATTCTAAGTAATCCGGAAAAAGAAAAGCCAAAGGCTACCATAGGTCATGGCAATTAACGATGCGGGGTTATGTAGCTCTGTAGAACATGACTGGCAGACGATCTAGCATTGTCAACTAGATGTAGTTAGGGTGCTGGTCTTATTCGTCGATTGCAACGGTACATGGCCAATCACGACAAACACTCACTCAGACCCCCGAATCCAAGTGTCAAGACCGGCGATTACGAGCATAGACGCGATCGCATGAGAGACTTTGTTTTTAAGCCTTTGTGTGAACTTCAAACATTCCAACCACCTGGTAGAATGAAGCGGGTAGCGGAAGGACAATGTTAAGGTCTTGATATTGTTCACTAGCGCCGTCAACCACAACCTCACCACCACAACTACGGCCACTAAACGACCAACCTGAAAAGCTCAAACACCGCAGCAAATCGTATGAAAGTATTTGAGGAAATAGAGAAGCTGCGGGTTTCCGCTGCTGCTATAATGATACCACAATGGTGGTGGAAATTGTCACCAGCGGGATTTCGGGAGCATTATGACTAGTTTTGCTTCTCGTGATGCTTGGTGGGACTGGATAGGAGACATTTTTGGACATAAAAAGACTGTATATTGTTTGTGGAATTTTTTCGGTCTTTCGGTTAGTATCCAGCATTGCCTTTCATCATCTGGTTTCGTGGCTTGTTTATCCCATATACTTACTGGTCTAGTTTACATTCTGTCGATACCCAGAACCAATTTCGTAGCACTTTATCCTACCATCTTCTATATCTCCAGAAATCTATTGTCTACTTTTATATTATCTTTCCACCTCTTGAACTTTTGAACTTGTCGAAATGGACTCCTCCTGGGACCCCTACACCCAGACTTTCAACCTGACTCGCGTTGACGGCGACATCGTCACCGTCGCCCTAGACACGGTCAACGATTTCAATATCCAAAACATCAAATGGGCGACCATCTTTGCCGTTCAAATTGGCGCGGCTGGTGTTCTTCTGGCAATCCTTAGTGCCCTGGCCAAACCTAGGAAGCGCCACGCAATATTTTACCTCAATCTACTATCCCTGGTTCTTGCCATCATTCGCGGAGCCTTTGCAATTGAGTATATCTTAGGACCATGGAACAACACATACAGATATTTCACGCTGGACTTCTCGACAATACCATCAAGCTCAACGGCGAAGAGTATTTCGCAGGCGTTCTTGCAGTTGACCATGATAATTTCTATTATGGTGTCGTTGGTACTACAAATGCGCGCGGCGTATGAGGGGACACCATTTATAAAGAAAGTAGCAACAGCAGTGTCGGGTGCAGTGGCCGCCGTGGTGCTGGGTTTCTATATAAAGGTTGTGCAAGAGAGCGTTTCTGTAATCCTGAATGCGGGGTCGTATAGTAGCACTACGCATGATCATGCGAGGCTCTTGTTTACGCTATCAATATTCTTCTTTACCATATTGTTTCTGGTAAAGCTGGCAGACGCAATTATCCAGCGCCGAAAGATGGGAATGAAAAACTTTGGACCGCTCCAGATTGTGTTTATTATGGGATGCCAGTGTATGCTGATTCCTGGTAAGTCTCCTATCTGATACTACTTTAGATAGTTATTGACTGTCTCCTTGATAGCTATTTTCTGTGTTCTGGAACGTTTTGTCGACTTTGATGGGATGTACTCGTTCACGGTGTTCTTCGTTGTCATCTCTCTGCCCATGTCGTCGATATGGGCTGCTTCTGATGGGAAAAACTCACGCGCGCAGCAACAGCAGCAGTCGTCAACGAGACCGTCGCTTTTTTCCCACAGTTATCGGAGCAAGATGAGTACTATGGCTACCAACAGCTCTGATGGGGGCACTGACCTGGAGAAAGGTACTGCTGTGAGGGTTGAGAGGGGGTACAGCGTCGATTGTATTAAGGAAATTCCTTAGTCTTCTTCAAATTGCTTATGTGGTTTCTTAGGCTGGATGTTTTTGTTCTTTGGCGGATTCTGCAGTGTTATATTCTTTTTGATGATGGACTTTGATTTGTTCTGTGTGATGTTTTTAATATCTGCCCCCCTCTTTTTGCTTCGAGTTTCTTTTCTGAACCAGCGGGCCGGCATTATTGTTATCAATGGTTTCTGTATTGTATACATAGCTCGAATAAATATTATACTTTTTGTGAAGCGTTAGTACTGGAATTGATGCCTATAGCGAGTACTGATGCCCTCCGGGGCTAGAAGCTGGCCCCACAGACTTGCATGGTAGAACTTCAAGGCATTAACGATGGGGCGCGATGTATCTTGCAATTGGGCGCTGACTTCTTATCATATTACTAAACGCCTTAACTAAAGTATTAAGCGCATTTTATCTAATATCTAGGTTGCAATTCCCTTAGTGTTTTTCTCCACTGGAGGAAGATCTCTTTGCTTACCTTAAAGAGTAGATTTGTGACTTTCATATTTATGAGAAATCGATTACCCGCGGCAATGCGTGGTTGAAGACGAGCTCTGGATCACGAACGGTCACTCAGTGCAACCGACCCCCTGTCTGCTGAGATACGTGTATGTACCTACATGTACGGCCTCCAAGGCTAGAAGGGGGTATTCTATTCACAATGATTGGAACTTCCATGCTCGGGAGCACAAACCAACATACTACGGTACTGTACAGCCGCATTCGAAAAGTATTGGCACCCTACTATATTGAGTCGTTCATGAATTGTGGCCCACCAAAAACCATGGCACTCGCGCATACTCAACTTATTGATAGGTATGACCGCAATAGAGACATTGCAGCTCTCTCTGGCAATTGTCTCGAATATGAGAATTGAAAAGCAGAAAGGACTGCCTCGTGAGTTTGGCTCGGAGGTGCCAATACTTTTCAAATGCGGCTGTACACACAAGTGAATTAATGTAAACAAAGTCTCTTTCACCAGACCTACAAATAACTGTCTACGATACGGAATTGATGCAATGATTGAATCATCTAAAGTCTGTCAAATAACTCATTTATAACGTTTATTTAATATAATTTGCTTTCAATATCAACTGTTTGGGAATTTTAATACATTTTTTTCTGTTACCTCATCTGCGGCTCTAGACCTAGGTTCTCTTAGCGGGCTAGGAAAACGCACAAAACTTATCACGAAGCAACGTCCACCCCAAAAAGAACCCCTCAGCCCCACCAACAAATCCGCCGCTTTTCTGTTCCTCCACCTTAGACGAATAGCATCAATAATATACAACTACAAAAATGAGGCCTATATTACTACAAGGACATGTAAGAAACCCGCTTCCCCCGTGTATTTGTGCGGGTGGGACTGCTATTTTGTGAAACATTTTTTGCGGAAAAACTGACCATGAGGGCGTAATAACTATAGGAGCGTAGTTTGACGCAAATCAAGTAAGGAGAGCTCGAGAATTTCGCAACTCGGGAGTGGCATGTTTAGTCCGGGGGAGTTAGTGGCTAACTTTGCGATTTCTCTGCGCAAATAGGTACAACAAAGACGGTAAGCTGGCTTCTGACCCAGAGATACCTCAAAGCTAACTTCCCATAGGCGATCTTCTCTTCTCCACCGCAAAGGACCACGTTATCTGCGCATGGTACTCCGTCAACGGTGAGCGCCTCGGTACCTACCACGGGCACCAGGGAGCTCTCTGGACTGTTGATATCGACCCTACAAGTACACTTCTTGCCACCGGGGCCGCAGACAACACTATCAAAATCTGGGATGTGAAGACCGGAAAGTCGCTCAAGACTTGGGACTTCCCAACCGCTGTCAAGAGAGTTGAATTCAGTGAGGACGGGACGCTTTTGTTGGCTGTGACAGAGGCTAGAATGGGATTCTTGGGAACTCTGGTAGTTTTCCCGATTATAGTCGATGTCGAGGCGCAGCAAGCAGATGCTCCACTGTTCACAATCACCTTCAGAGAGAGCAAGGCAACGGTTGCGGCATGGAGTTATTTGAACAAATACATCATCACTGGTCACGAGGATGGATCTGTTTCACAGTACGATGGAAAGGTATGGCTTTCCGGATTATATACGAATTCTATACGGGAATGTTTGGAAAGAGCTGGGAAAGATGGCTGATGAGATTGTGGTGGATAGAGCGGCGAGCTTATCCAGGACATCCAAGCCCACGAAATAGGCACTGCCGGTCAGATTACCGATATTCAGATGGCTCCAGACAGGACCTACTTTGTGACCGCCTCAAAAGACAAGACAGCAAAGGTCAGTAATAAACTTTAATAACGAGGGATCATTGGTCAAAGATACAGGTAATCTTAGCAGAAGCCCTATTGCATCTGAAAAGCTCCCAATACAGCAGCTGCTAAGCTCTTACCGAATATTTGACCGGGACCTCTTTGGTTATGTCCTAGGCGCTCATAAGGCTAACAACGCTCTAGATAATCGATGTGGACAACCTTAAGGTCCTCAAGACCTTTGTTACTGACACCCCTCTTAACACAGCTGCTCTTACCCCTAAAAAGGATTTCGTGATCCTCGGTGGTGGTCAGGAGGCCAGAGACGTCACTACTACTTCCCAGCGCCAGGGTAAATTTGAGGCCCGATTCTACCACAAGATCTTTGAGGATGAGATCGGCCGTGTCAGGGGTCACTTCGGTCCTCTCAACACCGTATATTCCCCATGAATTAAGTAGATGTTTATGTGGGCCTTTCTAATGTGTGACCAGATTGCCGTTCACCCACAAGGTACCGGCTACGCTTCCGGTGGAGAGGATGGATACGTGCGTGTGCATCACTTCGACAAGCCATACTTTGACTTCACCTACGAGGTCGAGAGGATGAAGGCGTAGACTTGTGGTGATAACTATTGCATGGATAAAAGCAAAGAGAACAATCAAAAAACAATTTAAAAAATAGTACCTCGGAAACGATATGCATGAATCAAAAAGTCCTTTTTTGTCTAGTTGCGGGTTTTTCTTCTTCCCTTTCCCTTTCTCAGACGGTCGGGGGCGTGGGTGTGGATGATGGTTTCGTTATTATATTACCTCTGTCTCATTCCCTTCTTTTTTTCTTTCCATATATTTTACTCCCAGCTGTTTGGTAGGTAGATTGAATATTTATATCATGGTGTGGATAACTCACCCCCCGCTATGCCATAGTCTATGACTGCATGCAGAGTTTTGTACCTAGAAGCAATAAAACTACATGAATTTAAAAAAAAAAAAAAAAAAACTCACCCCCCGCAACCCTTATTGCAGCTCACTCTTTTGAGGGGTTGAGAACCTTGGGCTTATTGCTCACCTTTTATTGGTAAACCTCCAAATCTCTGGGTGCTATGGATAAGTTTAATTGGTTAGGAAGGGTAATTTTCATCATCCTGAGTCAATTGTAAAATACTTTAACGAGTGATCAGCTGTGACGCATTCTCACGGGAGTATAAGCACAACATAACTAACGGTAAAAGACTACATGTAACTACATACAACTCTAACTAATTCAACACCGTGAAGTCTACGGTGAACCATGTAACATCAGTCTAGGGTTAACTATAATTATTACTAGACGAGAGCTCCCAATTACCAGTTGATCATAAGGCTACAGCTGTAGGCGCAACACTACTCGTCTATTCATAGCGTTTGTGAACACCACCGCTATTGCATGCCATACAAAAAGGTTGTCTTGGCTATTTTTTGTGTGTATGTAATGCCGGTTGTGTTCACAAACGCTGTGAAAACACGAGTAATCATCATTTACGGACTGACACTTATTTATACGAACGGTCTGGGAGTTTAGTATCACAATGACGAGGCACAAGATGGTTTGGCGACAATGATATTGTCATTTTCAATAATAGCAAAGCAACTAGCTCTTTGCTCCAAAACATACATAACGAGTCAATCTAAAAAGCCTCAAGCGGGTATACGACGAATCATTTCCCAATCGAGTACGAAGGTAACGCAACAAGCTTTCAACTCCAAAAATCTCTAAAAGAGCTTGTGCTCCAAAGTCATGTCAGACTCGGGGACCAATCCAACACAAGCGCGGAAGATGTTGGACATAGCTGCGCGCTGCTTAGCAAGAGAGTTGACGACGGGAGTTCCCGGCGGGGTCAAAGGGGCCTTCAGCATGTAGCTGAGAATGCTGAGGACGCTGTGGAATCCCTTGTAGTCCTTGGTGGCAGCACCGCTGGTGGCATGGGCTTTCCAGCTGATGCGAGTCATGAGCTCTGTCATAAGACAGAGATCAATAATGAGTGGACTGGCCAAAAGAGAGTCTTCACAGATGTTCGACATGCTTAAAGGTTGTTAGTGTATGCTTTATATATTGGGCGAATGAGGAAACCCACGAAATTGTCTGATGTCCTCCCATAAAGATTTCACCGTGGTATTCGTCCAAAGCACGCTTGGAGTCTCCGACAGCAGGCATATACTTGATGACCACGGTGTGATCGGGGTGTTCCCCTTCCTTGTACAAAACATTGTTTGCCTCGACCATATCATCAACAACATTACTCTTGCTAATCTCCTTGCTTCTAAAAGTCTTTTGCTCGTTCAAGTTCTTGCCATCTATAAAACAAAATCAGCTGCCGTACAAAAGAGGAATTCTTTTAAAAAGAAAACGAACATACCATTGTTTCCCAAGTGATTGTAAGAGGCAATGGAAGTAAGCTTGATACCAGCATTGATGAGGAAATCAACCAAAGCAGATTTCATCTTGGTCTGGCCAGACTTGAAATCATCACCGCCGATGAAGGACTTGTGCTGCTCAGCAAGCTCAATACAACCCGGAACAAAGGTATTCTGGGGAGAGCCGTTGATGAAAGGCACGCCCTCCTTGATACAGGCAACCGCAAAGATAGTTGAAGGAGCAACCTCATCATGGCTAGTCTCAATGGACTTGAGGAGATTCTCAGCGGTATCGTTAACGCCGCTGAGAATATCGGCGTAGCGCTCAGTGTTGGCAGTCCAGAGAACAATAACCTTGTCAAGACCATTGTTTGACTTGAAAGTGCTATAATGAATATTTGTGAGTGATAAGTTGTGAAAATCAACTAAAAAGAGGAAAATCATACCGGATATCATTACGGATTTTTTCGACGTGCTCAGACTTGGAACCCTTGAGAACATTATCCGCGCGATCTTCCTGGTTGGCAGCGATAAAATCTGGGTAGTAGACGCTAGGGAGCGGTACCATAGACTTCATCTGCTCCTTGACCTGACGTTTCAAATCAGGCTCGAGGACAGCAGCACGATCCATGGCGTCAGCCAAGTTCATGCCGCTGATGTCCCAACCACCAAGGACAAGGTCATTGGGGTGAACCATTGGAAGGATGTCATGAATCGGGATGTTAACATCCTTGCCGGTTTCAGCGTCATTCCCCAATTTGATGGTAGATCCCATGATGACCGATCCATAGTAATTGGCACCCCTCTTTCCTTCACGGGTTTCCCAGGTAATGCCATCACGGTTGGCAATAATACCGGCAGTGATGGTAGACCCGTTGTTACCGCCCCATCCCACAAGCATGAGACCGACTTTTCCAACCTTGCGGTCAGTCCTGAAGTCGTAGACTGTCTCAACTGGCTCTGCAATGTATTTTCCATTGGGAACCTTAGTGACTTTAGTGGTACGGTAGGTATAGGTTGACTTGATGGCCTCTTCCGTGTAGAGGACATTCGGTGAGCGAACAGTAAACAATTCAGGTCCAGCCAAAGCTGAATCGGTGGCAGAGCCGTTACAAGAATCGTTTGCGTGAGGAGCCATAGTGTTTATTTGAGAGATTTGAGATGGTATTTAGATGGTCTGTAACTGATCAGAGGCCCCTCCTGCAGGTGCAGAACGTTTGCCTCCTTGGTGGGGGTGGTGAACTCTATTTTTGTGAAGGAAGTTATCAGTAAATGGAATCCAAAGGCGATCACGATAACGAAAAGGGAAGAAAGAGCGTGCCGAAGCAATCCAAGGATAACCTTGGAGAATAAAGCTTTGGAGAATAAAACTACGATAGCCAGCTATCTAGGAATGAATTGGGGAATGAATGGATTGCGATAAAACAAACTACATGTATCCAGGGATAGAATTTATGGATATTGAGATAAGAGGCCATGTGTTTTTGCAGGGGAAGCTAATGTAGCAAAAGTATGAAATGCAAACATATCCAATATACAGAGGACAAGTAGCCAAAGAGAACGCGATAAAGAAACACAAGCAGAGAGAGGTCAAAGTATCTCAGGGATAACATACGAGTTTAGGAGAGTGGAGAACGTCTTGACGACTTTTAGTTGACTACACTCGTGAATAGAGTGCAAGTCAGTTTGATGGAAATGGTTGAAGTTTTACTGAGTAATTAGAATTGAGTGAGGCGTGCTCAGGAAGATTTCACAAGGACAAAGTGATTGATTGACTGAATGAAGTGCTGAAGAGAAATTGAGTTTGTGTGAGATAGCAAAGTGGTGCCTGACGTTCCTTTATATACGGGAGCAAATATTGCGGGAATGCAATCGTACCCTATCGCTGTGGGGTGGAAACCCCCCAACAGGGCGTGTTCCTGAAGCGCGCTAAACTCAAGTAAGCAGACCCTTTCCGATGCTCATTGCTGTTGGGCGTGGAATCCGGCAAATTTCGACTCCGAGGCGGCTCTGAGCTGTTCTTTTCGATGAGCTGCACGCTACTGCAACTTCCGAATTCACCTCCCAGGCACGTTATGAAATTTTTTGCACAATCGTTCCTGGGCGAACCCGAAATCTCTGTCAGCCCAACTCGCTGATTCGGTAATTCACAAACCCCGGGAACTGAGGGAAGGGTATGGAATCACGCCGGAAACCCTATCGTCCGATTTTTGGTGTATGCCGTGCCAGCTTACGCGTAGGCACATTGAAGCAAAAAGCTCGTTAATCAATGACAATCATGGAGTAATAATCGCTCAGAAGCAGTTGTAGGCCGAATCTGGTACTCAAAGTAGACCCTCCATCCAGTCTACATACATGTATGTATGCTCCAACATGTGCTTACGCCAGAGTGCTAGTGGAATATATTGCGCATCTCCTTGCAGTACTGGACAGACATTGATGTATGCACATATAGGGTCAGGGTTGAAAATGTATTACCAACGTGTCCTCAACGATTTTAAATTTTGTGAACTAGATGCGGGTAACCGACTTTACCGCTTCACCGCTTCACCGCTTCTGGGCTTGGGAACGACCAAGACTTTTTCTTAACTGTGCTGTTCAATGGAGGTTTCAAAAAGCATCTTCAACCATAGAAAGTCATATAATATCACTCGTTGTTTATCAGATCTGTGGTTTGTATTAATGCAGTGCCTGGATTTAGAGCATTGTGCCGAATATGGGGGCATTGGTGATAGTCGGTGATTCGGCTGTTGAGGCACGTGATCGTAAGTGAGGAAGAAAGGAACTGAGTAGAATATGTTATCCACCAACCACGACGTCCAAAGACGTTGACTGATTTGTTGCTGCCCAGTTCAGATCAACGCTGCAGATACCAAACACGTCAAACCAACACAGAGTTACAGCACATGCAATGAGCTCATAGGAAAAGTACATTAGGTTTTTCAAAAAAGAGATAGACTTGCAAAATACCTCTTCTGGTCTTTTGAAGTCTCGCTGGTTGACCTAGACGAATCTCCACACTGATACATACGTTGTCTTGTTGTCAACCGATAATCTTGGTCCCTCGAATTTCGAATAGGAGAATATTGTTAGTTCTGGCAGTCTCGACCGCGACAAACTCTTATGGAGAGCGCCCTTTTAATATTCGTGAAAGGTTTGTGCTTACCTATGGATGACATGAGGTTATATAAATTTGACGTTCAGCGAAAACCCCTTTGCGCAAAAACAATCAAAGAGTGAGTTTTCATGAGAAGCCGGACATTTCTAGTTTGGCTCAATACCTGCGCACTATAAGCTGATGTTTAAATTGCAAAGCCAGGCCTGGCCATGAGACCGTGAAAGCTTTATGGTAAGGGATATATTAAAGGAGGGATGCCACGGTTATTATTGCCACCTCTCCAACATTAGGCGCGAAGAATTTACTCGCATTTTCAGAGTCGGATTCTAGCCCTTTAAACTTGAGCTAGGACCTCATTTCAGTGATGATCTTCGCCAAATAGACCGGCCAACAAACACTGACATTTATGAGGTCTGCATAAGGCTCCATAAGGCGGAGATGATCACGGGGAGGTAAATGGCGTCCGTCAAAACCATGCGATTCACCCACCTAGACCTAAATCTAAGAATGATTTCGTCCATGGGGTGGTCAGCCGAATCACAATCTGTCACTCGACACCAATAAATCACGAAAGTCGAAGCCCAATAGACAAGGAAGTTCCAGCAGTGTCATAAAAATTTCCAAGTGCAATATTACATGGGTTTGATACCTCAGCTCGAGTTCATTCGGACATAAAGTCTAACAACTAAAGGAACAGGTGTGCCTAAATTCTCGAATATTCTAATATCAAAGTACCAATAAAGCACATACACGCACCTGTCAATTACTATGTGACTTCTTGTCTGGACTAACCCAGCACCTTGGAAGCACCAAAATAGGTAAGTTGTTTGTGGCGGGGAAGTCAAGTATGGTTGCCGGGCCGTGTCGAGAGTGCACAATAGGCTGTCATGGCACGTGCATCTAAGGCTCGACTGTTGTAGATCATTCCATCCTGAAAGAAACACGGGCGATACATCGGATTACAGGCGGATTTCCATCAAAAACGAAATCCTCGAAGCTATTGTGTTGCGGAAATTTGGTCCGTCCGATGTCAATAATCAAGTTCTTATGATAGGGGCCCATTTGACTCAGGCGCAGCTCAATCACATCGCAAAGTACAGTAGGAATCGCAAAAGTGGCCTCTGGTTTTTGTAGCTATGGATTCGAGTTTGTTTGAGACACTGCTTCAGCCAATCAGTGCGGAAGAAACCATCCAGTCCTAGGAGGTTCTGTTGAATCTGTTCGCTTAACGGCAAGATGTTGGTTGTGGATGTGAGGAAGGGTGATCATCGATAGGGAGCCTAAATGGCGAATTATTGGACAGAGTAGCTTAAAATGAAGCTTTCGCCGGCGCTGTGCTACTGACTGCGCAATCTGACTGGTCACCGCCATCAACGGTGTTATTTTGAAGTGGCCAGAACAGGCATTATGACATGCCATTGGGGGGGCGACGACTGCATGAGGTTCTCTCCCTCATTTCTACTCGCATTCTTTCCATGCTTCTTATGGGGTTGAGTGTCTTGGGAGCTTCCTGAATGGGTACCAAAAGTTTTATAGCAAATGCCTATCGGGGTTAGCGCCTGGGGTTACACCGTCAGGGGCCACCAATCACTTACGCACATGAGCTCGGGGTTGTTTAGTACAGTACCGTAGGTAACGCTATCTGGACCTCATCTCTTTCTCCGGATTTCACCGACTGGGAACTAACCGAGAAATGCGACAAAAAAGAAACAGAAAGAAGAAAATATGGGCACCCTGAGTTGCTGATATGGGGTTGATCGAGATCTCACGCACATGGTGGCATAACTAAGCACAACGTGCTCTTCTCTTATCGATATTTCTTCAGCCTGACCTACCACTGCACTCTTGGCCTTTTTAAACATCAAGCGCCACGATTCTACACCGTGAAGTCCTAGGGCACGTGTGGTACCTCCAACTACTGGACAGCACACTACTCATATCCCCACTACTGCCGCTGCTGCTCCTCAATACCACCTCCTCCAGTCAGACAGACCGGCAATTCATGTAGGCGCTGGTGGACAATAGGACAGAACTGGGTCCACACGGCCACCCTCTCAGCATCATCGTTTTGTCTTGTCCGGGATGTTAATTGTGTGCTGTGTCGTGTGCACACCTGCAGTTTGATATCGCGTGTTCGATAGGGCGAAGGATCTTCTCTCATGTTACGGTGGTCCATGTTGTAACAAGACGGATCCATACCGTATCCAAAGTGCTACACCGTTTACTTTATAGCGCAAATGAGGCCATTTCGATATTTCAAAATCTAAACAGATATCGATCGTCCACAACGACCCCTCTTATACCTACCCTTTTCCGGAATGAAATTCTGCATATCTCGGTCCCTAGACGTATGGGGTAAAGCTATGTGATGGAACCCCTGGCAGAGCGGTCGCTACGACACTTTCGTTCTCAGGCTATTCAAGGTCCCTTGTAGATACTAGTACTCTACTTTACATATATGGGACTGCCCTGGAGCAGCATCTGTGTGGCTGGCGCTGTTAGATTCTCTCTCCGTTAATTTTTCTCTCCCCAAACTGCGACCTGAATTGAGATTTCATGTGGACCAAAAGAGTTGTATCCGTGGCTAGGGAGAGTCAAAATTTATTAGGCCCCACATTGGTTTGTCTACATTGCGCCGGTGATGTTGCGGCCCCTTATTTAGAAGTTTCACCTTAGTCGGAGTGAGAACCAAATTTATCTTATTCGCTGGTCTTGGGTTGCGCAACCTTGCGCAACGACGTCCCTCCGAGATCCCAGTTTGGGAACGGCGAGCCCTGGCCGGACGCTGGTGACGGAGGGTGGTCCTTTACGGCGCAAGGTCAAAAAACATATACATACAACTCCTCCTCCTCCTCCCCCTCCCCCCACCTTTAGGTGGTTTTAGTCCATTCTTGCTCTTCTTGTGTTCTGCGATTTTGCCCTGTCCTGGGGACATTCAGTATTCTACAATACCAAAATCTACTCCGCACATTCTGTCTGGCGCAAAACCATCAAGATTCCATAACTTACTTTCTATAGCCAGTCACTCCTTCCTGGTGATCTTCAGAAAGCCCAGCGCACGCATATTGCAACTGCGACTGCATATTGGAACTTGCGCCGCACACTGCAGCAATCACATACTTACTGGTCTTCAAACGTTCTTTACTTGACATCCCATCTATACTAAGAGGGGCCCATTCCGCAGACGCTGGATGTCTTTTTGGGTTCATTAAGCCCCGTACAACAGTTACTATTTATCTTGTGGTCTTGACATTTATTAAGGAGCGGACTATCATCTATATCTCGCTATTTGATCCATTACTTTCAAAATGGCAACCGCCGTGCGAGAAAGCTATTTCCCAGCAATAAAATGCTCAATGTGTAATGCAGATGTTGAAATTACCCAGCTGGGCGACCATATATGTGCTGGTGCAGGTTCGGTTCAAGGTATATTTCAATCCTCAATAACTTTATTCGCATTGTGCTTTTGTTTATAATATACCCAACCAGCTCGTATATTAACTAACGGCCTATCTATAACAGAGGCACCAAAATCGCCAAAACCTAGCCTCTTCCCTTTATTCAAAGGAAAGTCAACGAAAATTACACAAGCGCAAAAGCTTGCTAGTCTCCCCAAGATTGATCCTGTTACAGCAAGTATGGTTCCAGCAAATGGGGATAGATTTTACAGAAAACTATAAGTTCTAACAAGTGTAGATCAAACTTATCAAGGACGCGACACACTTACACCTTCAAGCAGTACTACTGGATCAGCACGATCCCCGCCTACACCCAAAGATGGCCAGCCTTTGCGAACACCCATTCACGGTAGCCCCTCTTTGTCACCTAATCCTCAACGATCTTACACTGCAAGGAAGGGCTCGTCGGCATCGTCTTCAATTTACAACATAGATAGCCCGTTCCCTCCATTCAAGTCATCGATTTCGCCTATGAGCCCGCATGCACTACCAAAAATTAGCGCAGACAAGGAGTTTTACCCCAGTCAAGTTCCAGCGTCGCCGATAGCTATCAATAATAAGAGTGTATCTTCAAGGATTAACAACATTGCGCCTGGGCCATTTGGCGTTAATCATAGTAATACTAGTAGAGATCGGGTTCATGATGTTCTACCAGTCGCTGCATCAAGTTTCCCAGAAAGGGGGTCCTCTAAGGCTGCAAGGGCGAACATGGAAGCGTTTCCAATGTACCCTGAGATGGAGGGCGAAAGAATGATACGGAGGGACCAGATTGAGAGGGGTGAATATTCGGCATCTCGCCGAGAGAGGAGGGATAGGGGAAGGGAGCAAGATTGCGATGTTCCTCGGCGAATGCCCACCTCTGGTTCTGACCATTCAAGCAGGGCTAGCAGCAAGGCAAGGAGATCTCAATCCCCGGGATCTAGACAACCACCAAAAGAACGAAACGCGCCACCTATTCCTATCCCGTCACTTGGGTTCGGAAAGCGGGGAGGGAAGATTTCAGATGAGCAGGATGCTCCTTCTAGCAACCCATCAAGATATTCAGACACAGGCCCTAGCAACCCCAAGGTTGAGGTACTACGGCCAGAGACCCGCGCAAACACTTTCCCAGAGGCGGGCCATAAGCGAACACCTAGCAGCGGTAGGGTTCCGCCCCATCCAGGTATAGGATTACCAAGGTCCCCAGCTGTGACAGTTGGTGGGCACAAAAAGAACAATTCTTCATCAAATCTATCGAAGGTTCCACCTACTGGTCCATTGCCGAAGATACCAGATGAACCTGCGGGTAAACGAGAGTCCCGCCCACGAAGACAGCCGTCATTAGGATCAAATAAACTGGGGGCAGACGTGCCTAGGAGTACTCTAACTGATGAAGCAGTCTCTCTCCCATCATCGCGGAGACTATCTCCACCAAACCCACATGAATATTCGGATTTTTCGATAGCAAACCCATATGAGCTTGATACACCAGCAGAATCTTCAAACGTCCCAAGCCCTTCAATATCCAGCAACGCCTCTTCAATCTTCTCTCATCGCTCAGAGCGCTCCTCGGCTTCTGCGACATCCAGCCCACCAACGCCTGATGTTAACAATGCTTTGAGATCCAGTGGCTCCAGACATGAGAAGGAAAGGAGAGCGCCTGAAAATACCAGCAGGATAGGTGGTGGTGGATTTAACGATATTGATGGACTTATGAAGGAGTTGCAAATTTCAATGCACGATCTAGCACCCACTCCTGTGCAAGAGCGATTTGAGGAGCGATTTGAGGAGCGATTTGAGGAGCGATCTCTTCCAGTTCCCCGCGAAAAGGTTAGGGTATCGTCCCGTGATCGTCAAGGTCCTCCCCCACAGCCTGCACCCTTGAAGCGCCAGCCACCTCCACCAGGAGTTTACCAAGAGCCACCGGCTAGGCCGAGTCGGGAACCGTCGCAGACACGCCCTTTGAATATTCAAAGAAACCGTACACCTCCACCGCCTGCACCTCGACCTGTAGATGAATTGTTTATGGACGTGCAGTCAAAGCCACAGCAGCAGGAGAGGTCACGCCGCCCGGCAGTATCAAAGGGCCCTTGCCGGGGTTGTGGAGAGGAGATTTTTGGAAAGTCGATTTCTTCGGCAGATGGCCGACTTACAGGCCGCTACCATAAAGCTTGTTTTGTCTGCCAAGATTGCCGAAAGCCATTTGAATCGGCGGAATTTTATGTGCACGACAATTTACCATACTGCGAGCGCCATTATCACCAGAGAAATCAATCACTTTGCCCCACCTGTGACACAGGTATTGAGGGGCCTTGTTTAGAGACTGAGTGGCATGAGAGATACCATCCCACATGCTTCTCTTGCTCTGTATGTTTTTCCTACTCATATTCAAAAGGATCTGCATTTTTTCTAACTAATTTTTTCAATAGGAATGTGCATGTTCTCTTGGCGGTGACTACTTTGAGCTTAATGGAAGACCTTACTGCGAACAACACGCATACCAAATGCAGAAAGGCAACAACAGCCTTGGAATAAACCACATGGCTAAGATGGAAAGACGAAAAACGAGGTTGACGTTTATGTGAGGGGTGATTTGATTGTTAATGTAAAAAGGGGTCATGGTTTATGCATGGGTGCGGGGAATCGACTGATTATTGATTTAAAAAAAAAAGGAGTTTTGTTTGGGTAAGACTCCTTAGGGAGCGGTCTGCGCTTTTTTCTTTTTCTCTTTTTTTGTTGTCATTTTCTTTTCGTCCTGATTTATTGGGTCTGGTGCCATCTTTTTGCTTGACGTTTAATTTCTAGCGTTTTCTTTCCCTTCCTTCTGGTTCTTTCTTATGAGACTCCTTTACTTCTTTGGTACCCTTATACTTTCTCTCCGCTATTTTTATTACTTTCTTCCTCTGGAAGCTTTTGTTCATATGTTCATTCTTCTCATCATGTGTCGATGCATCTATCTAGTTTATGATGCCACACGCCACAATGTACTCACTCTCGCACTGCGATGAAGTAATAGTAATCTTAGTATAGTCTTGAATTATAATTGAGCCTTACTATTTATAACTCGCCGGGTGCCTACTTGTTGATAACGAAGAATTGTCCGGTCAGTTGAAAGTTTCGCTCACCGAGGTGCACCCTGAGTAAGCTTGCGCCCAGACCGAGTGATGGTTCATGATGGCAAGGATCCTTTAATCTCTTTGCTGTGACGTATGTGCGTTGGTCATTGTCAAACGCGCCCTATGCAGAATATTGATTCAAGACAGATGTTTGTAAATTTATGTGAAACTGGTAGGCACTTCGGGGTATTCGTATTTCATAATGGGGTGATTGTGGTTGGTGTGTTTTGTGCTCCGGCAACTGGAAATAGCGGGGAAGCTTTGATAAGTGCTCTGAGACCATATGCCAACCATTGAGTACCTTTCGACACAGGTCATATCTTACTTGCGTCGGTATGCCGCGCTTGTGATTTAGCCGTCGTTTTGAAAAGCAAGTGTGGTAATTTCCGCTACATAGAATTAGATCACTAAGCCGGATTTAGCCCCAAAGCAACGACTGTTGATAGGGTACATGCCAAAAGATAGAGCGAATAAGCCTCTGAATAGGTATCCAATAGTACTCCGGTCCATCATGATCAATCAAGCCCCTATTATATATACAGTCGATGTCCGACGACGTCGTCGGTACGCGGTAGAGTTACTACATGTATCTACATATATTGCTAGATTTAGTCGCTTTGCCAAGACCCAGACTAGGAAAGTTCCCTTCTAGTCAGTTGTCATGCACGATCACTCGTCCCCTACGTCATAACCCCATAATGCTTCCGAGGTTAAGGTATGAAGATCAAGCAAGACAAGAGAGCTGTTCAGAGTACTTATTTACCCCAATTCCCCTTTAATTCTCTACCTCTCCCTGCACTTACGTATATATCAATTCAATTCAATTGCCTCCAAAAGGCAACCTTCTAAAAACGAACCCCTCAGTAGTAACCATTATCAAAATGCTCCGCACAACCCACCGTACCCTCCTGCACCGCACCCCCCTACGTGTGATCTCCCAAAAGCGCTTCTACGACGACCTCAAAAAAAATCCGCACGCAACTGAAAAGACGCACACACTCGACGTACAATCCGACGCCTCCAAGCGGGGGATGAAGGAGCGCGAAGAGAGCCTCCACAGCGGCGGGGCCCAGAACAAAAAGAAAGATCCCAAGAAGGAGCACCCCGAAGCACCAGGACCAATTATCGGGATGCAGGATGAGAGGGGGCAGAGTGAGTAGTTACCTGTGGTTGTGTTTAGTTTTGCAAGTTTTGTGTTTGGTGATTGCGTTTCTAATCCATGTGCTTTTGTCTTTTTGCGCGCGCGCGATATACAGAGAGCGATAACTAAATATTTGGGTGATGGTAGAGGTTTGAAGTGGTGATCATGATGAGATGATGGAACAATCTATGACTGAGTTGGGTGAGGGTTATATATGTACTAGTGTATAGCAGATTTCTTTAAGACAAGTTTATAATTTTTTTTATTGATATTTTTGTCACTTATCATACCCTTCTCCCTTGGCTGGGTAATGCGCGTGCTCCAATTGCAGTGTGTAGAAAAATTAAGCTCTTCCCACCCTAAATGATAATATCTATTCCACAAACCAAAATCAGCAAAAAATACAATAGGAAACAGCTAGAATGGCCACCTACATCATTCTTCCCAATCTCGACAATGTCTGTCTCTGCAACTCTTACGCCGCCAACGCCCTCGATATAGGCAATTGGAACATCACCCATAATCTTCTTCGCCGCGTCTTTCACCGTAGTATTTCTATCACCTCTGTCAATACTCACCAACTTCCTCAAGGTAAATAGAGAAGACTTACTTATTGACCAAAACACAGTCCCTAAACACGCCACCACTTGATCCTGCCCCCGAGGTGAACGAGTTCATATTCCTGACTGGGAACACAGGCACCAAACCCAACAACTTTGCCGCCCTACTCAACACCTGCACCACACCCGTACTCCCAAACCTATACAGCACCATATCCTTTAGGTTTTCGATACGTGCCTTCAGTTTCTCGTCCATCTCCTTTAGGCCACCACCTTCTGGATCCCCTTCGCTTATCAAATCTTCCCTTGTATCGACAAACTCACTGCCCTCGGTATATTTAATATACCCCTGCTTGGCAAGTTTGCGTAGGAATACCTCCGAGATAGCACTAGTGAGGACAATGCTGTCCGGGGGCTGCTTCTTCGCGATCTTGGCAATGTTCTTATCGGCATCGGCGTGGTCGATCTTGTTGAGCGCGCAGACAGTAGGGAACTTCTCGTCGATGAAGCCGTTGACGACCTTCTCGACCGTTTCGTTGTCCCATGACTCAAGGGGTGTCTTGAGGGCGAGACGGTCGAGCGTACGCTGGACCATGGCGGTGGTAGAGCCGTAACCGGAGAATTGGTTTTGGAGGGTATCGGCAGCATTGGCCTCTAGAAGGGGGTAAGAGATACGGAAGAACTACAGATATACGAAACAGATAAGTATGGGAGATGCTTACTGAGAGCTATATGCCGTCGTTTTATCCCACCCCTAGAGCATACAAACACAGGTAAGCAAATCATTGGCTTGTGACAGCCCGTGAATGATACATAACATGAAGAACCACTCACCACTTCGTCATGAGATTCCCCAGCACCCACTGTACAATTTCCTCCCTCAACCAGATAATATCCTGGCTCGGATCATACCCCCTTGTAACCTTGCCCTCTGCGTCAGTAGTCCCACTTACATCCACAACATGCACCAGTGCATCTGCATGTCTCAAATCGTCCAAGAAGCGATTCCCAAGTCCTCTTCCTTCGTGCGCGCCTGGGACGAGTCCTGCGACATCGAGGAGCTCTATGGGGACTGAGCGCTTGCCGTCGTGGCATGAGCCATAATTGGGCTTGCAGACGTCTGCCTTGTCGAAGCGCACACATGCACAGTCCTGGAGTGGCAATGAATGACAGGGTCTTGAGCTTAGGTGTGGGTTTCGCGCGCGGAGGGACTGTTGTGTGGACGTACGACTTGAAGATAGCCAATTGCTCTTTGGGGATCGATTGTCGTGAATCTATAGGGATTCGTGAGTATATGGGGTTACGGGAGGCCCTGGATATTAGTGGTACTTACGGGAAGTTCCCTATATAGAGTGGAAATGATAGTTAACAAGCTGTCTAGTTCTAGATCCACATGCTATGAGATCTCAAGGCTGGCGCGCGCAGCTACTTACCAACTTTTGAAGTCGCATCTGTTAACGAGTTGAGCATTGTCGACTTGCCGCTCGATGGCTTGCCCACCAAACCGATAAGAGGATCGCGAGGCATTCTGTGTTTGACGTGAAGAAAATTAAAAGAGAATCAGAAATTCAAGATACGGAAAACGCCGTGAAGGTCAGGAAGAAAGAAGTCGTGAGGCGGGGTAATTTATGGAACTGTCAGTTTCCAAAACGGGAAGCAACGTCCTGAGCCTCACGACTTTTTTTCTTTTTTCTGCTGCCAAGGGCCGTGGTAACGTCATTTTTAAGCATCACAGATGTCTCACGTGGAAATGATTCAGGCACAACAAAAAAGAAGAGCTCTTGGGAAATCCTTAATTGCGAACTACAGTAGCCTGTAACTATCATGCAATAGCAATACAGAAAAGAAAGAAATAAAACTATGTATGGTATCTCCAATCCCCAATCCCCGAACACCTAATTTAAAAGAAAGACGAGACATTAAAACAGTCATTATAGTTCATAGGAAAGAGCCAGTTTCCTTCATTTACTTCTGGAGATCAGCCTCGACTCCACGCTGTGAAGTCTTTCCCTTGTCGTGCTGGGTGTTAAAGTCGGCTAAGAAAACATTAGTAACAATATAACAAAGGTATTGTTAGTTCGAATAGTAGCTTACTTTGGGCTTCCTTGTTTCCAACGATACCAGAAGCAACGCTTCCAATAGCTCCAGTAACACGGTTCGCTAAATCACAATTAATATACACACTACTATAGTAAAACCAAAAACAACTCAGCGGATACTAACCAACACCAGAAGCAAAGTCTGCAACCTGACCAGCAGCTTCCTTTCCTTGCCCCTCAGAGTTCTGCTGTTGGCCTTCACGTCTCAGGTTATCCGACCCAACAGCGTTTCCGACAAACTCCTTTCCGCTGCCGATCAACTGATCAGCCTTCCCATCGCGGCGGTTTTTGTTGTCGATAGTGGCAGCACCGGAGGATGAGAGGTTGAAGGGACCAGCCTTGGCACTAACGTGGGAGGCGTCGTGCTCAAGGTCGGCATGGGCCTTCCTGTTATCGGCAGCTTGTTTGTCGGCGGGGTTTCCTGAATAATTATTAGCATGATACTTTTAATGAAGACATGAAGCTTCGATGCAATAAAGACTTGATTTTTTAGGATACATGTGGATAGAACTCACCAGTAAGACTACCAACTGCGCTCTGGACAGCAGCAACACCGCTGTCGATGTAGGACTTGACAGTTGAGGGTTGATTGGTATCGGCTCCAGACATTTCGAAGTTGTTTTTTTTTTAAAAAAAAAAAGGTTGTAGGAGTTTGATATATATTTGCTTGATTTAAGTTGAAGTTGATATTTGATGATGAGGAGAGAAACTCCAATTCCGGGGAAAACTCCAGTCTTTATATCCACATCTCCATGAGCTTTATCAAGGGACTACCACGTGCAAAAACCCTTGACATTCTTTCTTGGAATATCGTTTTGGGGAGACGCGTTTATCCTATGACATCATCTTCCTACTTTACGTCATAAAATTTGCCAAGCATTTCCCCTGCACACCTCCACAGCCAAGGCAAAGCACAGTGCACCCGCGCCACAAAAAATAATGACGTCCTTGCCACACTATTTTACTACCAGCAAGGAAACTGGCCAACTAGAAACTCCCGTGCCCAGTTTTGCACAAGATTGTAAAATCTAGACTGTGGGAATAAACCACTCAAAGACACCCTGCCCAGGGCAGAAATAAGAGATCACAATGGTAGATTAACCCTGCGGGAAATCCCAGGGGTCCACATCGTTCCTGGAAGCAGTGGTGCTACCTACATGTACTTCGGTATCAGGGGTAAGTGAGTAGAACGCGGCGGTTCATATTCGCGAGCAAAACAGGAAAACTACAGCTTTAGCCACGCTGCCACGTTCTACTCACTTACCCTTGATACCAAAGTACTTCACCCCCTTGTTCAGCTACCCCACATACCCACATATACGGGTCTCATACCTACAATCGTGATTACCATTTTTGCTGTTTGCAGTATTATCGGAATCTAAGTTCAATTGAAAGACGTCATTGTCTATGTTCGTAGTTCCCAAAGAGCTCTCTAAGTACTAGAGCTAGTCTCAAAATGTGTATATAAAGAGCACCCGATTCCCCTCTTCAACGAATACTCTCATTATCACAATCATACAATCACATTCTCTCTACTACCAAATTCCTCAAACAACAAAGACTTTTTCCCCTTACCAAACCACTCAAACCATAAACCACAATGTCTGATTTCGGCCGCAAAGATATGTCCACCAAGGCTAAGGAGGAGCTCGTAAGTCCACCACTCAACTTTTCAATGTGTATCAAAGGCCATTTTTAACATTTGTCCTTTTATAGACCCCCGACAACTCGAAGTCCGTCTTTCAACAAACCAAGGAGACCCTCACCGACGCTGCTGACCGTAAGCACTCCCCTATCCCGCATATCTTCTATAATAGCTACTAATATAATGACTATTAGGTGTTGCTGGAGCTTTGAACCCGGACAGCAACAAGAGCACCACTCAGAGCACTTTTGACAAGACCAGGAGGGAGAAGGATGCTCACACCGAGGGACCTGTTGACAAGACCAAGAACGCTCTTGGATTGTAAATCTTGATGGACGGCGCTTTTCTTTTCTCTTTTCTTTTTCAATCGGTTGAATGAATTGATGGGTTTATTTTTTGTTGTATTGTTGTCTTTATGATATCTACTCTACAATAATACGCTTTTCTTTGAATATAATTACGTGGGACTTGGGCGATGTGATCGTCAGGCAACAAAACTGCCGCGGTAAATTTTGGCCTCACGCGTTGTTCCGTGAGCCGAATCGAGTGACCCTTTATGACCCAGCGACCATTTAGCAGCTACACCCACTTATTCTACACAACCACACAACCACATGTAACGCTGCCGCTACCTACCAACCTAGCCCAATAAGGCCGGACGTGGGAAGAGCTTGGTGCATTGTAGGAGTCATCCAGACGCATACTTTTTTGTTCACAGCACCAATGGCTTCTTCTTCCGGACGAGGAGTGATGAATTGTTTTCAGTGCCTTATCATCCGCGTTCATTTGCCTTACAAGGGAGTTGTAAGTTGCAAACTCACTTGTAAAATATCAAGGCGTATTTTATCAAAGAAGCGGCTAGGGTTGGAGACCATTACTGTAATTGAGGAGAAGTTTCGTAGACGGCCGATATATGTTTTTGAGGAATAATATCTACGGCGATAGGACTGGAGACCGGTCGAAGAACAGTCTTGTACTAGATGCAGAGCTGCAAGCCTAGATAACCCATCGTTCCTCATCCACCCCAGGACCCACTAAGTGGATAAACCCGGGGACCATTTTGCCCTCAAGCCAACTTATCAAGCCAAATTAGTAACAAAAGATATCTTATGAATCCTGAACTAAACAAGTTCAAACCAGAAGCTTCTACTTAATAGGTCAATGCAAAGCATACGGTAGGTATTTATCGAAGCCTCGTGATGAGAACGCTCTGCGGGTTATTTCTCTGAATCTAGTACTTTTAGACCTCTGCTAATACATTGTGGCTTATTCTGAGCTAAAGAGTTAAAATATAATATGCATCGTTTCAATGCGTATTGTGGGGGTGATTGTTGTTTTGCAGTATTTGGAGTTATGGTAGTGGTGACAACGGAAAAGCTGTACACTTAATCGCAGGTCTGGTTAAGGGGACTCATTCTAGTGCCTTCAAGAAACGGTCGCTACAAGGTGGGTCGATCGAGTGATGCTTCATGATAGCCTTTGACATAGTACGTTGGGGTGTCCTTCTAGTCAGTTAATAAGGAATTTTGGGAAAAATCTTCACAGTTGTGACAGAATAAAGGAGAAGTAAGGGCGTTCATTCCTCACACAAGGAGCTAATGGATTGGGATCTATCTAAGAATGCATACAGCGGGAACGACAGGTCTTGGCCAGCGGTGTGCTATCGTTCTTGGCTAAACTACAAGCCCAGGGTAGTACATAGCTTAGCACCCAAATTCCTTTAACCAGGATCACATATGCGGCGAACGGACTGGAGGATGAGCTACTGTGAGTATTTTTTCTATTCTAGGTACAATTCAACACCTAAATACCAAAGCTTTTTCTAAGCCTCATGAGAGTTTTGACACTTTTGACATCTGCAAAAATTCTCTACCCGGTAAATCCATACGAGCTAACACGTATGGTAAGTCTGCCCCTGTGTTGGGAAACGTTTGCCCTCCTTAACGTGAACACTTTGACGTTGGACGCTAAGGCGGTGGGCGTGGATAGAGAGACATCCGAAGGTGCACTGGAAGCATTGTTACTATTTTTTCGGTCCCGAACCCAGAAAACCCTTTACTCTTGCTACTCACTCAAACCACAGGGTCCTAATTTTGTTACTGTATATGTGTTCATTGAATTATAGATCTGAGACTTTATCGATGCTGCTTGGCTAGGCTGCGATTTGATTGGGATGTGCACTTCCCTGGTATTGAAAGCCTAACCTAGCCCTCATTATCAGAAAACCCGTCGATATTCATTGATCCCTCCAAAAGTAGCTATCAAAGTCATGAGGCCCATAAAGCAATCTGCCATGGGCCGGAGTTTATATAGCTAGACGCCAGGTTCGATTTAAGAGACGTAAACAAAGCTAGGTACCTTGTTAACTCCTCCCTCCACATCGATCTTTACAGTTACGATCACATTCCTACGATGCGGACCCCTCTATAAATCCCGGTGGTTTTCATACTCCTAGTCGTTGTTTTTCAGTCTCGACCTGGATGTCGTCGACGTCGTTCGATTTGGCGCAGTGGTTAAATTACGTGCCAAGGACTGCCAAGGTTCGAATTCCACAAATCACGGACTGCAGCGATATTGACACTGAATTCGACCAGTGCAGTGGAAACGAGATGCCCCTATTCGCAACTGTGTAAACAACAGAGAAAAGGGCGAAGTTATGATTTGTTTCCTCTGAAGAGTAACCGGGTAGTACTGTTTGGTAGATCTTATGATGCTGGGGTCCGTCGAATATCATGTAAATAAACCAATTTTAATATGGCCCCCCTTTTCTCGGGGATCCGTGAAGCCTTTCCTTTTTGTTCGTTTCCGGAGCCTTGCCTCGTCTCCCATCCAATCTTCTACAACCCTCAACACCACAGACATCGATCGCATCTCTCCCCACTTTGCTGCCCGCCATAGCCAATTGTCCGCCCAAGCATCACCACACTCTCTCACAACAGCAGCACGCTCCTGATCTGCCTAGTGTACGTTAGCTGTCACCAAACCCCATTCTCGAACAGTTCCACAGCTGTTGTCGCAGCAACGCCTAGCCCATCCTTCAGGCTTCTAATCCGCTGCCTAAGACTTGTTTTGACTCTTCGATCTCTGCTGGAAACGAACTCTACTCCTCACATATCCCACACCCACCGAGTAGAAGCTCCATACCACTCACTCACTTACTCTTCAACACTGCTTAGGTAGCAGAAACACATTCAAGATGGGAGGTGAGTCTCGGAGTCCTAGCTGCACCAACATGGCGATGATCATAATGCTAACTGTCGTGCTACAGTCCAAGTATCAAAGATTATGGTACATTCCGAACGTGTAAACAAACCCTACAAATCCATGCTGACCTCTTCTAGGGAAAAATATTCGGAACGAAGGAGATGAGGTTACTAATGTTGGGATTGGACGCGGCTGGCAAAACGAGTATGCCCTCAAATCACGTGCAAAAGGAGGAGGAACCCCACGCTGACATTATTACTAGCAATACTCTACAAGCTCAAGCTTGATCAAGATGTTACAACGATTCCGACAGTCGGTTTTAATGTGGAAACGGTAACATACAAGAATGTCAAGTTCAACGTTTGGGATGTTGGTGGTCAGGACAAGATTAGGCCTCTCTGGCGTCACTATTTCTCCGGTAGGCTCACTTCGTGCATGCATCTACTAACCATATCAACATGAGAGGCGTTGCAAAATGGCTAGGTGACGCTAAGAATCCAGACAACGCCATGATATCTCGATGGAAGCCCCTCGTGGCCAAACGAATGTTTCTTTAAACACTGTTTCGTTGCGTTTCTGTCATCGGTGTAATTTAATCGTTTTGCAACCCTCAAGATGTTGATATGGAAATCCGCAGAGGAGTTATAACTAAACTTTTTTACAGGAACCCAAGGATTGATCTTCGTTATCGACAGCCACGATCGTGATCGGATCGACGAGGCCCGGCAGGAACTCCACAGGATCATCTCTGATCGTGAAATGAAGGAGTCCTTACTATTGGTCTTCGCCAATAAGCAAGACATTCCTGGATGTACGTTTCCATAACTCTGCAATTCATTAGATGGATACAACAACGTGTTTCAGAATTCGTTGACGGCTAATGCGTTTCATATTGTAGGCATGCCCCCGTCGGAGGTTACTGAGAAACTCCAGTTACACAAACTCAAAGATAGAGTTTGGTATGTGGTCCCGAGTTGCGCAACTACTGGTGAGGGTTTGTTTGAAGGATTGGTGAGTTCAACCCGTGCTGCAAAACTTGAAGCGCTGTTTCAGTACCCATCCCAGGACCTTTGCTGATTGATATCTTTCTAAAGGGTTGGCTATCCAACAATGTCAAAACACAAGCTCCAGCTCGCAAATAATCGGTATCAGCTTCCTCTTGTTCGTGATCGGCAGAAATCAACGGCAGCGAAAAGTTACCGAAAAGGCGCCGCAGAGGCAAAACCAGCATACCTTTCTTTTAGGAGGTTGGTATATCTGCATCAGCAAGGGGAATGGTGTGTATAATTGGGTTGTACGATTACAGGGGAGATTCTTATACCCCTATATTGCGAGAGAGCAGGCATCTTTCCAGCGGTGTCTTCACTCATCTTTTTTTGTTTTCCTTTTATTGGTCATGCTTGGGGTGTTCATTTTTTTTTTCCTAATTTCCTTGTCTTTTTTTTGTCTGGGAGCCTTGACATCATTACTTTAACATACTACTCTTTTAATTCATGAAGTCACGGGTGTTTTCTTCTTTTTATTATGTTACTCCTACCCTCCCCCTCCCCCTCCACCGAAACCACTACGCGCCTGCCTCTGAGCGCCCTGGATTAAAGCTTACACACGAAGCCTATCCATTATTTCCTTGCTCCGTTTCTATATGCTTGCTATCTCATCCTATCTATGCGTGTCTCCTACTAAAGATACCTTTGTTGCTTTTACCCAGTCCTGTTTCGTAAAATTTACTACCATACCCCGGATCGGTGGTATTAATGTGGTTTAAAATACCTAAGGAGACACGCATTTCAAAAAACATGATTTGAGTGTCCCCCCCCCCCCCCCCCTTTTTTTTTGTTGAAGTTGCTTTGGTGAAGGATTTGAAATTCGAAGAATTTTTTTTCTTTTGGGAGCTAGAGACGGTGATGCCTTGCGTAATATTTGAAAAACATACATGATTCTCCAGCTGCTAAGATATTAGCGTTGCTCTAAGTAGCTGGGTCATCGGGCATCACTCATATGTTGCAATTGCCTATGCATGCTGCATGCAGCTGCAGCTGGTACCTGATTGTGCTGTATTAATTACATAGATCGCTGTACTATTAAGCCATAAAGATATATTGGCGTTCCTATTGCATAAATATGACTTGGTTGGGTTGCGCTTGATTGGTTAGATGCTCGCCCATCAATCTATTGGAAGGCTGCTGATGTCTGGGTTAACTTTTCGGAGCCCTAGTAGTGCGAGTAATTAAATCAAGGACTTCTCGCTCATGGCTGTTGCATGTTGTGCGGAAACCATAGCATTCATGTTTTTCACAGTGCAATCCGAATTATATAGCTCTAAAACATATGTGATATTTAGTATAAAAGTACCGTCTGAATATGCATACTCTCGAGTATATCCACTACAGATCATACATATATAGACATATCGAGTATGGAGTATGCGACTGATTACATGAAGAAGTTAAACAATCAATTCGAACTAGAATATTAAAGACTACCGCCATTTCCTGCATACAAGGGAGGAATAAAACTAACTGTTAATTAAAATGTTTATTATCTATATATGACATATACAAAGACGAGAAAACAATCTACATGTATGTGAAAAAGAAATTCTACAAACCCTAACCCACCGCCAGTCGCTCTCACCGTAGCTTCGCCGGTCCCCGTCCTAAAAAGATGGAAGCGGGGAAACCGGTGAAGACTCGCCATGTTCCCAGTTCGAAAAAATAAATTGCTCTAAGATGCGGCCCTAACTAGCGGTCAGCCCAAAAGCAGCACATGAATTTTAAACGTGGATGAAGTTTAAGCGTAGTGAGGGAACTTGCAAATATACATGTAGCTACATGTAGTAGAAGAATCTGTGCTAAGGTAAGGTAATTGTACACCGCTAGCAGGATGGGCCAGACACCAAGGTTATAACTAACAAATCTTTTTGGTAATGTGTCCTTGTATAAATTGAATATAGTCTGTAAGGACACGTCTATATCCTTTTCCTTGTTATCTATACAGCTACGTAGGAGTGTGGGGGGTGGGAGGGGCTATTTCTTTATAGTGTCATGTCTAAATGTTTGTACGGGTATCCTCGACTCATATATGAATGGTAGGATTACTATAGGGCCATCTCCGCGCGGTCATTAGTGACATTCACATAATATAAAGCCATGTCCCACACATTTATATTGATCATTAACAGGGATATAACATATATGGGGTACCAAAGAATTTTTAAGTAGAACATATAGTTGAGAAAATTTTCAAAAGAGTAGGGGACTAGGTGAGTAGATAAGTTGGCTAACGCTAATTATTAATACATTGCAGGTATTCAGGCCTGTAACTCACCGTACGTAACCTACATGTAGTCATAAATCCCCGCGCATAGCGCGCTAACCCCAACCCCCACCAAGAACAAACCTTCGAATTCAATAAACTAACCCTGTATCCTTATCATAGTGATATAGCTCTTGGACTTGATGACCCAACCAACCAACCAACCAATCAACCAAGTGTTATGATGAGTTCTCGGGCCGTTAGGGGTAAATACATGTATGTCAGATATTTCTGTCATAGCCCTCGTGATGCATACAATTGATGAATTAATAACAGCAACAAAGCTCTCGGACTGTTGGATATTTGGCTTTTCAAATGATTTCAAACCTATACAGGTGAGCTGTCCAAACCTGTCATGGGGACACATGTCGACGCGGTTAGGTTAGGTTGGCCTCATGGAGTGTCACTCGTGTTGCTGATTTCTAGCTCCCCTTCCCTTTCTTCTTTCTTTTTTGCCGATAGAGTGACCAGTCTTAACATATATGCCACCTATTCCATCTTTACTAATTCTACTAATTTTATATTATAGTCCGACCCGGGTTCGTGGCGGAGAAGGGACCAATTTATTATAGGCCCGGCGGCCAGGGGAAACCAAAAACGAGAGGAAGACCGGGCTGGAGTTGTTATAAACTGTGGCTGTAGTCCGGCCTTGGGGGTCGGCGACGCATATGTAGTTATAATTTCGATCAAGAGGCAATATAACCCCGCTTGGTGGATCAAATTACGGCTGGTACTTGTATTGTCTATTAGAGAGCGCTGACATTCTAGGGAAATAGAACATCGTGTATAAACTTACTTGATAGTCGGTGAGGAATTGGATATATATTACAGCTAGTTTTTCTCGCCATATATTTCTGTCTTCATTGTCAGCGCTTCGGTTTGTGCCGTGCTGGGATTCAGGGACTCAAGAGACTGGAGTCATGTGTATTGAGGATATAGTGATTCGATAAAACCAAGATTCGGCATTTTTTTAGCTAGCCGGACCTCCCCATCGTCTATCATGCACCTTTTTGAGTTTGTTGCAGGTTGGATCACAGATTATCACTCGGCTCTAACTCTCCTTCCTGTTTTTCGGCCAACGTCCCCGCCCACTGGATCCCACACGTATGATATGGCCACAACCGCACCCCACACTTCATAATAGGTAGGATCCCCAAGCACCAAAACCACATACTAGAGACCTAGTTGGCTAAATACCCTGCTCCATCTCTCTCGATCCTGCTCGCCGTCATGATCATCTCGATATACGCTAAATACGAGTCAGCCCGTGGGAAAGAAGGCTTAGAGGATAAATTCGGCCATGGCCCCAGGACTTCTGTGGGCGCGTGTAGCTGCTCCTCCTGGAGCAAGAATAGAACTAATGAAAGATTCTATTTCATCAGCGGCGAAAACGTGTGACCATATAGACCGTTAGAATCAATATCTAGCCCTCGAAAAAGAGCGCTGGGTAGGCTTTGGAAAGCATCCGAGATCTAGGACGAGGCCCATAATCACCCCCCGCCCCCATGGAATGGAAGAATCAGGCTCTTATCTGCAATGGGGAAGAACAAGAGGTCAAAAACGATGGTGGAAAGGAATACAAGGGCCGAGTTAGTAGGTGACACACACGTAACTGAAGAAACAGAACAGAGTCGAAAGATGCCAACAGGCTAGGTGTAAGGGGAGACATCTAGGTGGCATGTTAATGGGGGGCGGCAATGAGGCCATGTGTACCAATTGCAAAGCAAAAAAGAACAGATCCCTTCTACTTCTCATGCCTTCTCAAACACACGTATACAACAGGGAACCAGGAACAACGGAGAAACAACGGGTGAACCCCCGCCTCTCCTCCCAGACACACTCCCCATTGATATCACCACTACTACTGCTCCAGCTTCCAACTACGAAACCAACTGCAGTCTCATGGACCCTCACCCGCCCCCGTGACTCTTTTTGTATAGTCCAAGAAGAAGTACCGCAAGCCTACATACTAGATGAATTCGGGCAGGGCTACATGTCTTCTACTACTATATCCGCTAGGTACTTCCATCTTTCGATCCTCCCACAGCCTACCAACAGTTATAACATGACAGTGGCATTGGCGGCAGGGGGTCATGTGCTTTGGAGCGAGTACCGAACGCCCTTCAAACTAGTAAGGGACGCAATTCATTCACACAAACTCAAACCACGGGACTAATTTAGGATTGTGAAGGGTTTATAGGCTTCATCAACTGCGGTTCAAGGTTGACATGTATCTACCTAGCCATCTAAGTACTAAGCCTTGTTTCTCAGCCCAGCCTTGCGGTATATTGGGCGGCCTGTTAGAAGTACTTCGACATTTACCTCGTGATTATGGACGATGCGAGCGATTCCCCCATTGTTGAGAAGGTGGTGGCGGCACTGTTGATGGTGCTGGTAGAAGTTGGTGGAAGTGGTGGTGGAAATCACAGAATATCACTCACGCCCCCCTGTTTTCTGACGGGGGTGGTGACATCATTCGTGATCATGGCATATCACTCTCTCATAATCCCACCCTCATTCTCACCCCTCATTCTCGCGCCCCGCTCCACTCAACGACGCAGCAAACAGAATCACAAAAGGCCTCAAGCACAAGGCGCGCTGTATATACTGTCAATCAATCAAATTCAATTCAAACCCGCCTCAATTCCTAATTACATGCAACACAGCCCAGCCAATATCTGCTCTGCTAATTTTCCCTCATCAAAAGAAATGCAATTTATCATTACCACCACACTCAACAATTTACAGTCTCTCCAACCCCCCTCCAATCAGCAGCCAGCTCAATGAAATTCAACACCCAGAAAGAAAGAGCGATACCACTTCTCCCCAATTCACAAACACCAGATACAATGCAATTAACAGTCTGCTTAATGATTGTTTTAACTTCCGTTTCATTCATCACATTCCTATATCTTTCCACCCTGTTCCTATCCTCCCTATTCTCTTTCTCCTTGATATCGCTACCACAAATTACCCCACCCATTCCCGCAGATTTCAACTCTGTAAAGAATATCACAGCGTACGGCAACAGTAAAAGAAAAAAAGAAAACACAATGTAGCGTACCCCAGTAACTAGGCCTATCATAGTTATAAAATAAAAAAAAATGAGAGTATCCGAGCCACTCAATTCTGCAAAGCTAGTAAGTAGCATAAGCGAAAGTAAAAAAAAAAAAGAAAAAAGTAGTGGACAGGTGATGCAGTCAGTAGTCATTGTGTTTCAAAACAAACAAAAAAATGGAATATAAAAATCTTTCCCAGGCATGGGATTCAAAAGAATGATCACACAAGAAGTAAAAAGGTCACAAAAACAGAACCAGTAATCCGAAACCTGAACCTATCCCTTAAAGCGAGAAAGCAAAAAAAAAAAAAAAATCAAGAAAAAAAACGAAACCCCGAATTTAACCCCACGTACACAATTGCAGAACAAATTTCATTTAGAACATGGCACTCCTCCTCTTATCGGCCGAAAAGACCAACCTGGGCGCCTTCAGCTTCCCAGCGCCCTCCTTCCCACTAACACTCCCACTCTCATCACCACTAACGCTGGAAGCGCTGTACTCCTGCGGGGATCCTGATCCACCCCTCAAACTCTCGTTACTCTGGCGGCCAGACAGCGACGATGCAACACTCTCGTTGTCGAACGCGAACCCCTCATTCTCAGAGACGGGTGTCATAGTGCCAGATGCAGACCTAGCAGACCTGCGCTCCAAGCTTGAGGTAACAAGCCTTGAGACGGCCCTGCGGCGCTGCCTGGTAGCGAAGTTCTTGCTTCCCTCGACGGTAGAGGTGGGCTTCGCCTTGAGCTCCTCGATGGAGGGGGGTCCACGGGGCTGACGGATTGGGTGTGAGCCGCTGGCGTGACCTGGGGCGAAAGTTGCAGTCAGGGGTGTGGAAGGGAGCATGGAAAGCCTCGGCAGGGAGGTCTTTGGTGCGGGGTCAATCTCGAGGTTGTTGATGTTGATGCAGGTCGAGAGGGAGCTGGCCTTGCGGTGACCGCGCTTGAACCCAGCTGGGGGCGTTGTACTAGTCGGCTGCTGCTGCTGCTGCTGCTGCAAGTTAAGCTTGGGCGGAGAACGAGAGCGTGCAGAGCGCAGAGGAAGAGTGTTGTTAACAGAAGAAGTCTGCTGCTGCTGCTGCGCATACAAAGGAGGGCTTTCAGGCTGGGCAACAGGTGCTTGCTGCTGCTGCTGTTGAACCTGCTGCTGAACCTGCTGCTGGGCCTGCTGATACTGAGTCGCATTGACCTGCTGCTGCTGCTGCTGCTGAACATAGTACCCATACTGGGACTGCACCGCATTGTTGTTGTAAAGCGGGTAGTACCCACCACCAGCAACCATGTTAGCGTTATTCTGCGACATCTGCTGCTGCATGTACATGTTCATCCCACCGGGGCTAAGCGGTGGGTTGGCAAATCCAGCCTGCCCCGTCGACTGCAACTGCAACTGCTGAATCTGCTGCTGCAAGATCTGCGCCTGCCTCGCCGCCACGCTCGAAGCCGCAAAGCTCGCCAACTGCTGCTGGAGCTGTGCCTGCTGCTGGGTGAGGATGTAGTTTGTTGCCAACAGCTGCTGGTACATGTCCGCCTCGGCCTCATCCATCGTCTCCATCATCTCCCCGTTGCTGTAGCCCTGGTTAGAGGGCATCTGCTGGTACCCCGTGTTGGCCGAGCGGGGGGTGTTCTGCGGGCCCTGGTAGCGATTGGCATTCTGGTTCTGGTTGTTTGCACTGTTGCGGGCAGCAGCACGGGCCGAGAAGGACCCAACCGTGCTAGCGGCTGAGCTGCTGCTGCTGGCGTACTTGCTGTTCTCAAGGCTGTTCTCGTTGACCTGCGGAGTGGGCATCGCGGCAGAGACAGGGGTCTTGGGGGCAGTACGGAGGCCAGCCAACAGGGCGGATCTGGCCGTGCGGGGGGTGGTCACGGGCTGTTTCTCCACCGAGGGAGCGGAAAGGTTGTTCTGGGACACGGGCACAGAGATGTTGCGAAGGTGCGAGCCCTTGCCTCGTGAACCGAAGGATGGCGTGTTGCCGGGGTAGTTGTTGTTGTAAGTCATCTGAACGAGACCGCCTGCGTCCATGCTCATGATTCTATCGTGAGGGGTGAGGAAGGTTGGTGTGTGGTTAGAGGGCTTTTGAAAGTTGTGTTGCTGTGACGTCGTTTTATTGACGGCTAATTAGGAGGTGTTGATGATGTCGATGATGGTATCGAGTGATGGACGTGACGTGACTATCCCGTAGTAGAAAAGTAAAAAGGACTGATGACTGGTGATGAAGTATACAAGATGCCTTTCCCTGGTTGGTGGGGTATGGTATAGAGGCCGATGAGATCGATGCTTGTTGAACGAAAGCAGGCAGTAAAAAAAACGACTGATTACGATGAAGGAAAGAAGTTTAGGGAAGAAAAGAAGAAATAGACGAAGAGAAGAAAAAAAAAGTTATATAAAAACTTGCTGCTGGGGGGTTCGAATTCTGACGATGAGTCTCCGGATTGGAAGTCGGAAGAGGGAGGGTGGGAGGGGAGAGAGAGAGGGAGAGAGAGAGGGAGGGGAGAATGAAGTTCAAAAGAGAAGAAAGAGAGGAGGAAGGAGGTAGGCAGGTAGGCAAGCAAGAGAAGAAAGTCGTCGGACGCTAGGCTGATTGGCCCCCCTTTTGTAAGCAACGTTTTTTTCAGAAAAATCGCTTTGTGTGGCACTGGTTGGCTGGTGTGTAGCGGTGTGCGTGGAAGGGCTTAGTGTCTGATCTAGGACGGCTAGCAGACTTCAACGGCGGCAGGCGGCGGGAAGTTCTTCTTTGCAGGGCCGAAGAATAAGGAGGCGACGACGACGACGACGACGAAGACAAGCGGTAGAAAAATAAAAATAAATATATAAAATGAAATGATAAAAAAGAACTCCTTTTCTCTTTCTCTGCAATGAGGGGTATAGATTCGGCGCAAGTGCTCAGCACAAGGACGGCGAGAGAGTTACAGTAATAGCGTAGTAGTAATAGTAGTAATAGTAGTAGTGTTGTTGCAGTAGTAGTAGTAGTAGCAGCTCAGCAAGTAAGCAGATAGTAGTAGTAATAGGCAGTACAGTAGTAGTAGTAATAGTAATAAAATAGAAACAGTTAAAAAATAAAAAAAAAGAAGAGTATTATTCGTGTATGGAAATGTCGCGTAGAAGAAGCAAGAGACCGAGCGCGAGCGGGAAGGCAGGCTGCTAGCTGCTGATGCGGGCAAGATAATAAAAAAAAATTGAGGATTCGCTAGTACTGCTGCGGCTTTTTGCTTTTCTTATTCCTTTTTTCCAAAACCTCCTTCTTACTTCTTGCTGTCTTGCTGCGAAAGAAAGTATAGGTAGGGGTAGGGGAGTGGGGTGGGAAGGAGAGGCCTGAGTGAGAGGAGAGAGAGAGGAAAAAGAGACGGACAGACTCGCGAATTGGGAGGGAGGAAGGAAAAAAAAAAAGGGCTGCAAAAAAACGGAGACGAAAGAAAGAAGAAGAGGGAGAAAAAAAAAGGGAGGAAGGGGGAAGGAATAAGAGGACGGGCAAAGCACCATAACAAAAAAAGCAAAAATAAGAAGAGAGAGGACGGATCCTCCCAGTAGGCAGGGCGGCAAACTGGATTGTGGGTGGGTGGGCTAACAGCAAACGAACAACCTCGAATCAAACCATCGACCATCCAATCGACCCCTCCCCTTCAGGGGTAAACTACCCTACATACTCTGCCTACGAACAACCTCTCCGGTCAACGAGGGGCGCACCGTACCGCACCGCACCCATCCATCATCCTTTTTTTCTTCCTGCCTTGCACTTTCTCGTTCCCTTTCTTCTTGGTTACTCATGCCGCTCTCTTCCCCAGTTAGTACCTCGGCCAGAATGTTCTCTTGCTTCTTCCTTCTCCGCCCCTCCATCCATCCCCCCCTCCCTGCACAACATGTCCTGCCCTGCCTTTTACCTTTCCTGTTGACGTTGGGCCTGGCCAGCCGCGCTTCGCCATTTCTGAAAAAGAAGAAAAAAAAGAACAGAAAAGAAAAAAAAACAATATTATTTTAACGGAATTTATTATTATCCCCCCCCCCCCCCCCCCAATCTGCACAAAAAGTCCCATATGGGCAAAATCCCCCACAAGCACACACAAAGGGAAAAGTAAAATCCTCGCCAGGCCAGTGCTCCCACCAAACGCCCAGCCCAATCCGGACCCGCCCCTCCTCTCAGCTCAGCGCCTAACTATTAGAGTAACTTAACCCTCCCCTCCACTTCCAAGTTCCCCCCATCCCCATCCAACCAACCAGCCCAGCCCAGTCAGTAAACAAAAATAAACCTCGTGTGGTAGAAAGGGCTGTTTCGCCACAGGGGGCTAGTCTCCCTCCTGGAAAGTGAGGTAGGTAACTAGGGTTGCACACCATCCCCATCCATCCATCCACCCACCTACTCTGAGACAAAGGAAGGGAAAGAGAACTCGATTGATGGGGTTCGCTTAAAGACGCCCTACATACTCTACTTTACACCCCCCCCTCGCCGGGCTCGCCCTACCTACCTAGCTCTGTCACTTAAAATAGCCAGTATAGATGGGGTTTGGGATATAAATCTTTTTAATATTGAATTCTGGCTCTATGGATATGTATGTAGAAACCGTGAACTAAAGATTTGATGGCCCATGGCTATATGGAGGGAGAATGGAATGGATTGGGGGGGGGGGGGGGGGATGGGGTAATCTTTCTGGATGGGGCATGGCATGGCAATGGCATGGTAGAGTGCAGACGGACGGTACGATACCACGGTACTTATCTCAAACATGACTCCCGCTTCGAGTAGATTCCATACTTTACCTGTCTGTCTGTCTGTCTGTCTGTCTGTCTGTCTGTCTGTCTGTCTGTAACCCTCAAGTAGGAGCAGGAGCTAGTAGGTACATGTAGTTACTCTAGCCTGCGCGGCGGCGCACGCGCGGGGAAGAGACATGATATGAGTCTACATGTACCTACTCTACAGGCTACCACAAGCACAAGCACAAGGCAAGTGAAGACGACGAATCGAACAGTGAGCATCATCATCATCATGATCATCGAGTACGTATTCGCCGGCGCGGCCGTTACTCTTCTCCATACATACATAACAACAACAAATTAAAAGACGGGACGAAGACGATACAGATTCACATCGAGTCCGGGGCCTTCTGGCTGGTCCGGTCATGATCATGATACTCAATCTCCATGTAGACCATGTAGAGGTACATCCCCATCCGAAAATAAAAAAGCACACACACACACATCCCAGTTTCTTTTTTATGATGGGCGACCCTGTAAAAGCAAAGCCCGTCTTTTTTTTAAAACCTAGCCCATTACATACCCTTTTTTTGCTTCTATGCTGTGTTCTATGCATAACTGTTCCCACCGAGGATTCCACCCCACTACACCACACACACTTCGGATGACTACAGACAGTACAGGCTAAGAAGAAGAACCCCCCTCCTCCCCATCCTCACCACTGACAGGCAACCCCAGCGCCTCTCTCAACACCCTATTCTCGACCTTCAGGGCCTCCACCACCACCTCCAACCCCTCCCCGCCCTCGTCGCGATAAGCCTCCCTGAGCAGCTTACTTATCGTCGCCAGGCGCATCTGATTATCCGTCTCGTGCTGCCGCAGCTGTGCATTCTGGGCCCGCTCAGAGTTGAGCTGGTTTGTGTAGGTCTGGTGGATGTTGATTGTCGATGCGGCGTGGTCGCGCTATATTTAGGAAGATACATATTCTTCTTGTTAGGGATCTGTGCCTGAGTGAGGAGTGGGGGAAAAAAAGAATTCCTAATGTAGATTGGGGGGGTGGATTTACGGCGTAGACTCGAAGGCCTTCGAGAACCTTTTCAAGCACGCTCTCGTAGTCCTGGGCCAGCAGTGAGAGGTCCTCGTTCTCGGCGCGGAGCTCGGCGTTCTCGGCGCGGAGCGTTTGGTTGGTGGCTTCGAGATCTGCTTGTGTTGTTCCTGTTTTTCCCACGTTTCATCGTCAATTAGCATTTCCTCCCCCGGCCCCCAATAGGGTATTTCAGTTCAGTTGAAGCAAAAGCATGAGGGAACAATCAATGCAGAACTGAGGGTCAAGAAAGAAAAAAGAAATCCAATATGCAAAGCCAAAAAAAACTAACCATTAACCCCATTGACCCCATTGACTGCTGCTCCTCCTGCGGCCACATCCACCAAATCTGGTCTATTCTACCTCCCCGCCCACAAACATCAGCCCTCTCTCCCTTCCCCTACCCTTCTTCCCCCAGCGCCATACCCCCCCCCCCCCCAATGCCATGCCGCCCAAGGTGATAAACCTACCCTAATCTCATCCGCCCTCCTCACCAGCCCTTGCGTAGTATCTCTGTTCGCGGCCAGAATCGCGCTCAGCTCCTGCACCTGCTGCCACAGGTGGTTGAGGTCCAGCTGGTGCCCCGCCTGTGTCGGAAACATGTTTACCATCCCCTGTTGCTGCTGTTGTTGCTGCTGTTGTTGTTGCTGTTGGGCCGCGGCTTGATGCTGCGCGAGGAGGAGCTGCTGCTGGTAGGTGGAGGGCGTGTTGGAGTCGCGGCGCGCGGGGGGTGGTCCGGGGTCGGAAAAGGAGGCGGGAAACATCTATCTGTCGGGCGGTGCGGCCGACGTGTTGTGGTTGTGGTTGGTGGTGGTGCTGGTTTGCTGGGTGGGTTGGAGGGGGATCGATCTCACGTGGGCGCGTGTGCGCGTGGGTTGGCTGTGGAGGCGGGAGGGAGGAGGGTTGGAGGGGACGTGCCGCTAGCTGCTGCCGCTATCGTCGACATCGCGATCGGCAGCCAGCGGGCGACGGCGGCGTTTTGACTTTTTGTTTTTTTTCTTTTTCCTTTTCCTCTTTCTGCCCTGGGCGGTATGTAGAGACTCGCGCGGTGGAGATTGAATGACGAGGTGGATTGAAATGAGGTATTAGATAGCTCTCTATGTGCTCTATCGAGCACGCACGCACGCACGCACGCACTGCTGCTATCGATAGCCAGCCAGCTGGGGCGCGGGCTACTATCTACATGTATCTATCTATCGGCTCTCTACATAGTACATACATGGCGCTACTCTGTGTACCTACTAGTGCCTGTGGAGAAAGCGAGGGAGGGGTCTTCCCAGCTCCTCCACCCTCCTCCATGGCCACCTCCTCCTTCAATCTCGATAGATGTCCGTGTCCGTGCTGTGCTGTAGATAGCATACACACATACACCGCAATTACAAGTGACAGCTCGGTAGAGAGGGGGCGGCTGCAGAGTAATTTCGCTTGTGAGTTGTTTGTAGTACTCTATGGTAGTGAAACGTCATAACCGGCCTCGCTCGCTCGCCCAACTGGCCGTGCATGCCGTATCTAGAGTAGAATACTCTATCTACATATGCAGCAAGTAGGTTAGGTAGGTAGAGTAGGTAATTTCGCTTGTTTTTGCGCTTGTGTTACCCCCCCCCCCCCCGATGACATCTGCGGCTTGCAATTGAAAAGTTGAGGGGGAGGAAAGGCGCGGGGGGGGGATCGGGGGTTAATTAGAATATTTGATATTTATCTGCAGCTAGCTGTTTTGGGGCTTCTCACGATATATATCCATCTACATATATCCATCTCCATCTCCCACAAGCCAGAAGTATCACTTTCACATGTCCACACCCCCATAGTAAAAAACACTCCGGGAAGTAATTAATCTAATATAATCCAGACACCCGTCCCCCCCCCCCCCTCTCTCCTCCTCCCTCTCCGGTCCCCCGTACGCACTCTCAAGCCGCGGAGCAGAGGGCCCACAGAATCAGCCTCGGCCGGCCACTGTGCTGTGTCACCCCCCATCACTCGCCGGTGTCTTTAGTGCTATGGGTTGTGTCTTGGCGTCTACTACATTACACAGTTCTGTGCTCGATTGCTATACGTTGATTAGGAGTTGCTTCCGGACGATATATCATGACCACCGGAGGGGGCTGTTTCTTATCACTTGAGGATCGAAGCTATTTACCATATCTCTTCATGTCACTTTCTTACCCACTCACGTGTAAGTATGTAGCCATGTCGGGGCCCAATCCCTAATTGGGCCATGGGAAATAATACAATGTAATTACCATCATTGCCAGTGAAGCCCAGCTCGAGCTCACTCGGCCCCCCAAACTCCGGATTGGACTATTACCTGATATCCAACCACCTAAAAACCAACCCATAAAGAAAAGAAACGAAAAAGAAAAAACCCAATTAAACCCATCTAACCCACCTCCCCACCCTATCCTACACTCCCCCCACCAGCTATCTCCCCACCTACCCACCACCCTACCTCCCACCCCCCACTCCATCCATAATCCCCTTCAACCTCCCCATCACCACCTCCTCCCCCCCATCCCCATCCCCATCCCCCTCCCCATCCCCCTCTTCCCCCCATCATCCCTCTCCTCCCCCTCCTCCCTCTCCAACCCCGCCCTCCCAATCGCAAACGCCAACTTCCCCGCCAACATCCTCATCCGCTCCAGCTCCGCCGCCAGCGCCCCATCCCTCGTCACCAGATTCGGCTGCACGCTCTCCACCGGCGCCCTAAAGGGCTCCACCAGCCCCTGCAGATGCGAATAATACGCGTGCCGCTGGCGCTGCGCCTGTACGGCGGCCGACAGCGCCGTCAGCCGCGCGTGAAGCTCTTGGTATTGCTCTAGGTCGGCGACGCTGTTGTCGGTGGCTGTGGTGGTGGGGTAGGTATCGGGGAGGAGGGCAATGTTTCTGTGGGGGGTTAGCGGGGTACACTGTAGGGGAGAGAGAAGAGGGGGGGGGGGGGGGACGTACTCAGCCTCCCTTAGATCCACCCCCCGCCGAAGAACACCCTCCTCGGCGTCGTCGGGCTGCTGCGGCTGCTCGTAGAGGTCCTGCACCTGCGACACGACGTGCGAGAGCGCCTGCGCGCTGTAGACCATTCTGTGGTGGCGCTTCGCGACGACATTGACTATGCATCCCGCCTCTCACCTTACATCAGCAACCAGCGAGCAGGCGCAGGGGGAAGGAAGAAGGGAGGGGAGGGGATTACACTTGTAGAGAGCCTGTGCGACGACGCTGTCGGGGAGGTCGCCGGCGGGGCTCTCGGGGAGCTGGGACTGCCAGGACCGCGGGGGCTCGATGGGCGTGGAGAGGGTGCGCAGCTGGCTGGAGATGAAGCCTTTTTTGAGGTCGCGGATGGAGGCGGTGGGGGTTGTCATTTTGCGTTGTGGTGTGGGTTTTGTGGGGTTGTGGGTTTGGGTGCGGGTGCGGGTGTGGGTGTGGGGGGCGCGTTTGGTGGTGGGTGGTTACGGGTTGGTGGTGATGGGTCAGACAGTGAGTGGTTGGACTGGCTGGAGGCTAGGGGATTCTGGACATGGGAGGGATGGAGGGAGGGAGGGATGGTGCAAGCCAAGGGTCTGTCTGAGGAGCTAGATAGATCTGTGCATGTAGAGAAGGGGAAAGAAGTAAGAAGGAAGGAAGGAAGGAAGAAAGAAGGGGAAGAATCAAGGGAAGGGGCTGCTGGTCTGACGTGTTTGGAGTTGTGCACTTTTATCGACCAGCGGGTGTTTGGCGTTTTGGAAAAACGTAGATTTGAGACTGTCTGTATCTAGATTGCAATTCCACAGACAGGGCAGGAATCTAGCTGCCTGCTTGCCTGCAGTGTTTTTCAGAAGTGTGGTGGTGGGCCACTGAGATACTGAGATTATACAATAGTCAAATCAATTATTCTCCTCTGCTATCTGCCCGGGTATTTGGGCTGGGGCTGTAACAGTTGAGTGGTTGAGTGGTTGAGTGGTTGAGTGGTCGTCACTCACTCTCTCTCCCCCCCGTCGGTCGTTGGCTGGCTGCCGGTCCACGATCTTCCCCGTGCAACCCAAGCCTAGGTACCGGCCGGTCCAGCAAGCATTATTACCATTACCTATCACACCTCACACCTCACACTTCACCTCACACTATCTTGCCCTCTCACTTTCACTCCTCCTCCTCCTCCTCATCCTCCTCTCCTCCTCTCCTCCTCCTCCCCCAACCCAAACCCCAACCCCAGCCCAGCCCAGCCCAGCCCCCAACGCACACCCAACCAGGCACCTCATTGACAACAAGTCCCCCCCCCCCCCAGTCCCCAGTCCTTCCTCTCCTCCCCCCGAGCCCTTTCCCCACACCACACATAAAGGTACCGTTTGGGGCTTTTTTCCCTCTGACTTGAACCTCGACACCTTTGACCTTCCCACCCGAATCAACCCAGATCGATCGACGTCACCAATCAGCCAGCTCTATCCCCGCCCTACAAGACAACCACCACCACACAACACAAAAACACAAACTACCTACGATGCCGCCGCAAAAGAAGGTTCTTCTCAAGGTATGCTTCTCCCCCCTCCTGTTCGCGATAGATAGATAAGCAGTATAGTGCAGCACAGGACTAACACCCCATCGCAGGTCATCATCCTCGGAGACAGCGGTGTCGGCAAGACCTCGCTCATGAACCAATATGTACGCATCCTTATCCTCACCTCTGCCCCCCCCCCCCCCTCCCCCACAAACAGCAAGACAGTCACTAACCCCCTCCCCGCAACAGGTCAACAAGAAGTTCAGCGCCTCCTACAAAGCCACCATCGGCGCCGACTTCCTCACCAAAGAAGTCCTCGTCGACGACCGCCTCGTCACCATGCAGGTACCTACCATCTCATCCCTCCCTCCCCCACTTCTCCCCCATTTTTATTTTTATTTTACCCGGCACTAACCACTCACACCACAGCTCTGGGACACCGCCGGCCAAGAGCGCTTCCAGTCGCTCGGCGTCGCCTTCTACCGCGGCGCCGACTGCTGCGTGCTCGTCTACGACGTCAACAACGCAAAGTCGTTCGACACGCTCGACTCGTGGCGCGACGAGTTCCTCATCCAGGCGAGCCCGCGCGACCCGGACTCGTTCCCCTTTGTGGTCCTCGGGAACAAGATTGATGTCGAGGAGAACAAGCGCATGATCTCGCAGAAGCGCGCAATGACGTTCTGTCAGAGCAAGGGGGGCATCCCGTATTTTGAGACGTCGGCGAAGGAGGCGATTAATGTGGAGCAGGCGTTTGAAGGTAGGTTTTTTATATATGTGTTTTTTTGTCTTCCTGGTGGTGGTGGTTTGGGGGGGGGGGTTTGTGATAAGGATGGCATGGGATTGGGGAGCTATGGGTGAATTTACCGGTGCGGGGATATGAGTGCTGACTGGACTGCAACAAACAGTAATCGCACGAAATGCCCTGCAGCAGGAAGAATCCGAGGAGTTCAGTGGCGACTTCCAGGACCCCATCAATATCCACCTCGACAACGAGCAGGGCGGCTGTTCTTGTTAGTTCTATTCCTTAGCTTTTTTTTTAGGACACTTGTATGCGGTGGTGGTGCAGTATCGATCGGGTTGGGTAGGCAGGCAAGGCATGGAGATGGAGTTAGTGGGCACATACGGCCCGGCCGGCGCAAAGACAATTACGGATACGGTTACGGGTGCTGGTGTGCGTTTAGAAGCTACAACAACCTCAACAATTGTTGTGGGCTATGAACCTCTTTTTTTTTTTTTTATCTTTTTTTTAACTCCACAAGGTTGTTTGAATTCGCGTCTCTTTTTCTTCTTTTCTTTTTTCTTCTCTTGCTCTGGTCCATTGTTTTTTTGTCTTTTTCTTGTCTTCGTTTTTGTCATGTCATTGTCAATGAGTGGAGTGGCTGCATGAGGTTGGCTGTGGTGGTTAATGTTCTTATGAAAGTGGAAGTGAGGTGAAGAGGAGAGGTAGGTAGGTGGGGTTGCGTATGGCGGTTAGGGTAGCGGCGGCGGCGGATGGATGGAATAGAAGTGGCCTACTTATGTTTTAACGATGATGACAAATGCGCTTAATACATATACTGCTGTCTGTTTTTTGTCGGTTCTGTACTGTACTGTACTGTACTTTGCGGTTGGTTTGCGCCTTTGGTGGCTAGTGGGGTGCGTGTAGATGTAGAGCTGTTGGCTGTTTGGTGGAGATAGCTGGTGGTGGGTATGTAGAGTAGCTGGTGGTGTAGCTGGTGGTGGATAGATGGAATATACGATACATATACTCTTACAACACAATATGTACAATAGGTACAATATCACAAAACACACCTCCCCCAGGACCCTATAGTCTGCCTACATGAAATTCCCCCCAACTCACGAGGTCATGTGACAGCGGCTATGTCACGTGCGCCACGGTGAGTCAAGGAAGGACCCTTTCAACAGTTTGGATAGGTAGCTCAACAGTTTGTCTAGGTGTAATGTGCTTTTGGACGATCTGCCCCCCTCTGTGCATAGAAGATGATGCTTTAGAGAGAGAGGGGCGCGGAGGAGGGGGGTTGCTCGCGCTGGGAGTAGGAGGTGGTAGGATGGAGTCATGGGGTGTCACTCGGTTTATCGGCTGGCGCGGCTCTTTTTTTTTTTTTTTTTTAACTCATTAATTGCATGCAGCCTTAAAGCTATGGAAATGGCTGGCGCGGCTCCCGCTCACTGTATCGCGCTGTCTGGAGGTAACCAGAAGGATATCTGGTGGGGTAGGGGGGGCCAGGGGGCCATAGCTACATATCCCTAAGCATCCCCTCTTGTAGTGGCTTTTTATTTGTACTTAAGCTTCGCCAGGTCGTATTGTTGTGGGCCAGGTTCTCGGCCAGAAAGATGGTCGGGCGCCTACATATATAGCCAGCCCGAAATTCAAAAGCTGCTTGTGTAGAGCTAGGGGTCGATATATCATCCATTCTTCCACTCGATTGGAGGCTAAGTAGTGGCTAGGGCTAGGTACAGTTCTGAAGGTAGAGGAATAGGCACCGCTATCTACCAGGTAACGGGGAGCAAATTTTCTCGGGCTAGAAGAATGGGTAAACTATTATATTATACGCTGCATTAACTAAACACATAGAGGCGACTAGCCCAATCCGTTGGGGGGTTGGGATAGGGTTTTTTTTTTGGTTGGCACTGGTTCGTCATGCGTGATGCTATGCATGTATGGCCCAAGCTTATGCCAGTCTCGGCAGCGTGTACGTGGGGTACATATTGATATGTATCCGTGATCACGAGGAGCGATAGGAGTATGTTTAATGGCACTGTTAAAGAAAAGAAAGGAGGAGAAAAAGAAAAAAAAGGGTTTTTCTATATTCGTAAAGTAACGCTGGCTTATACACAAGAAATTGAAGTTTACCGTTGTGATGTTGTTATCACTTATTGATTTTTCCGCATACAATCAATGAATTAACAACAACAATAATCGTTTTTCTGCTCCGATTGAAACATGAGCTATCACTCGGTTTCTTTAAATAGCCGTTGTTCTTAGTTTATCTGTCGTATGGAAATAGCCTTGTGTTTGGGGAGGGGGGGGGGGGTCTAGCTAGTTATATCAATACAAAACTAGTAAATCAATTAGTAAAAAGAAACAGGTTGTATATTTCTAGCAGTACTGATTGCTCCACCGGTAAAAAAATAAAAAAAAAAAAATAAAAAGAGGAGGCGGAAGCTAGAAATTAGCAACACGAGTGACACTCCATGATGCCAACGTGCAACCAAGGTATCGTCATCAGTTTTCACAGAGGTAAAGACTATTTGGCAACTAGATATATAACGCTGGACACAAAGATCCGGTATATTCCTGTTGACTACATATCTACCCGATAAGTGGTTCCCAAGTACTCGTATTTTCTTGACGTTTGTAAAAAAAAATGGATATTCCCATACTAGATCATCGACTTAATGGCGCGTTTTTGTATGGTATGCCGGTATGCAATAGCAGTTGTGTCCACAAACGTCAGGAAATACGAGTATATACCGCAGGATAGTACTTATAGGGGGGATCGGATGCCATGTCAGATGTTCACCAGGAATGGTAGTCTCAACTTTTAATCCCTAGGCGGAAGACCACCTCCAAGCTATGGCGCGCGCGAGATGACGTAGAGGGCCTGTGATCTGGCTGGTGACACTTTGGGTTGGCCTTTTTTTTTTTTTACTGCTACCTAGTACTAAGTGAAGAGTTATTAAAAGAGAGACTATTATCATTTTACCCCAATCCATACCGAGTGATAATCCATGACCACATATCATCACTTTAATACACTACACACATATCAAGGATCACTATACGTATCACAAGCACCACCCCACCAATCACGAACCGGCCAAGTAATCATTGATACGCACAGGGTCCCAACATTTTTACTAAATAATAGTAATATAATAATCCGCAACTTATATTTGACCTCCAACCTGGATATCCCTACTAGACTGGCAATAAATACCGCCAGGCACCCCCCATGCATGTATGTATACTCTTACAAGAAAAAATATGAACCCGCTTTTAAAACAAGTACGCTTGCCGAAAGAAAAAAATGAAGAAAATAACAAATGAGGATATTGAAGCTGAAGATGAGAATGGCAAAAAAAAAAAAAAAGCCAATCATATAAAAGCAAGAAACAGGAGAACGCCTAATTTCAACGCTACCCGGCCCGATTTTATACATAATACGCGTAAACAAAGAAAAAAACAAAAAACAAACATGAAGACTAGAGAGTCCTGTGTTATGCCCGAGGAAGAAGAAAAAAAGGAAAATCATAAAACTCCCCACCGCCCTATCATACCCCGCCTCCCGCCTGCCTGACCGCCATCGAAAAATCCAAAGACCACTCTACGAATGAAAAATACAAGACCAAAAACTATGAATAAACCTTTTCTAAAAACAAAAGGAAAAAAAAAAAAAAAACAAGCCACCTTCTAACCATTCCCAATGCTAATAATACTGAATGAAGGACATGACAGAAGAAAAGAAGTAAGAGAAGGTATATAAGCGTGAACCAAAGAAGAAAAACTATTAGAAAGGAGTGAACCACAAACACAAAAAGATACAGTAAATAACAGCCGCCCCCCCCCCCCTATCCATGACAAAAGAGAGAAATATGAACAAATGAACATAAGGCAAATATACCGGATATCAAATCTACAAGACAAAAGAGATGTGTGTGGTAGCAAGAAGTGAAGAAGGAAGTCGGATCGGATCAGAAGCTGAAAAGCCCCGATCGTTTCTTTCCGAACGGATACACCATCAGTGCAGCCGCAAACAGCCCCACCGAGATTCCGATCGCGATCTGAATCATCGAAAAACCCATATCCATCACCACGCTCGAAAACTGGCTTTGCGAGACGGTGGCGTTGTTTTTGATGACTAGATTTGCGTTCTGGATACCAGAAACCAAAGACCCTTGGGCGGCGAGACCAGAAGGAACCTGTACGAAGATGGCTGGCAACATCGCGGCGAAGGCGAGTCCGTGCCCAACACGGGAGTACAAGTTTCCGAGGATACCAACGGTGAAAGCACCCATTGCGTTGGATACCTGAGGCTGAGAGGCAAATCTCCGGCTGGAGAAGAAATTCACAGCGTACCCAGCCGTAGCAATAGCGATCATAACCGGGGCTTGCTTCCAGCGGGCTTGGTTGGCCGTCAGGAGACACCATGCGAATGGTGGCACAAACAAAAAGTTATATTGCCAAGGTAGGGGGTTCTCGCATGTTGTCGCCGATGTGGCATTCTCGTCGAAAAGGCCGTACAAAGCAGATCCAATGGTGATACCAAAACCAAGAAAGAGGGAGTAAACGATAGCGTAAAACATTCGAACAGATCCAGCGACTATATTTTTTGATTGAAGCTCTAGTGAGCCCATTAAGATGATGTAACCGGGTAATATCAATGCGATTGAAGCCTGCGCCAGTGCCGAAAAACAAAACAATTTACCTCCTCGAATGGAACCGAAAGCTCTTGCGAGGAAACTTGTCAAGATAGCAGCCGAGATTTCAAAAACATTAGACTAGAAGCAAAAGACTTGTTAGCTAGATATTCAATATAGTCGCGTTGAGACGCACTTACGTAGAGCTCCGAGTTTGGGGCCACGACGAGTTGCAAGAACCCAACAATACATCCAAGAAGGAACAGAACTGGCATGTCAATGAGTCTAGCCTTGAAACCAAATGGTCCCACCACGGCACTTGCAATACCGTATACTGGAACCAATGCCCATGGGTTGTGCTTAGGCTTCCTGTTCATGACATCATTTAACCTTTGGGTTGCCTCCTCGACGCCAATAATGTCGTGGACAACCTCTTTATAGACCAGATGTGTATCATGAAGCTTCCCTAAATCAACTCCCTGATTGGTTCGGACAATCTGCATGTCGGAAGTATGTGTCGACGAGTCCCCAAAGGAGACAATCATGCACCCCGGAATATACAAGAACTGGCCATCGATTTCGAGAACACGAGACGTCATCTTCATGTATTCCTCCAAGCGATGTGTGGGGGCACCATAAAGCATCAATGCC